TTTAAAACAGTGAAACACTTTCAAATGGATCTTCCCAGAACATAAATTGCATTTTTTCCCTCATTGTAAAAGGTCAATGTGTTTTTCTGAGGCATTAAAGGCCACAACACTTTCCTCTCAGTGCCGTTTTCATTTTTTCCAGGTTTTAAATCCAACTTCAGCTGCAGAGCAGGTCAATAAGCCGCTGTCAACCAGCCAGTCGGTTTTACCTGTCGCTCCGATGCTCGGCGCTTCTCTCAGCCCTCTGTGGGGGTTTAGCATGTGCTAACATGACAGATTGAGCCCCCAGTAGGAACCTTAATTGCATCATTTCATGGATGCGAGTCAGTGCTGTGGTCCGGGAGAGTAAACAAGGTCTGAATCCAGGGAGCAATGAAAAAAAGAGGTGAAGGAATTTATTACAAAACAGAGAAAACAGATGAAATATCCCCAGATTTTTGGGCAGGAAGGTAAAATGTAGAAAATGATACAAAACCAAAAAATGTAAATATTATTAGTGTCTCTGGTTAAATTTTAACTGGCACAATTTTTTCAAATGAATGTCTTGAGCCTGGACCTTACTGTGGGAATTTATGAGGTTAATATGCTAATTAGGTGATTCAGTCCTTTGGTTTAGGTTTATTCCTGCAGGGATGCAACCAAAAGTTACAGGACAGGAAATAAATGGCCAAATGAAGGTTTTCAAACCTTCTGAAAACTTTTAGATAAATGCACAGAGATATTTGTGCAGACTAAATGTTTACAAGTCTGAGTTTGAATCTCAGACTTGAGTAATTTTATTCTAATAAAATAAGTCATTGCTCTTGAAAAGCTGTTTGTGTTATGCAGATTGTGTTGAAGATTGAGTCTAAAAAATGGGGGTAAATTTGGGTCAACTGAAGAAGAAGAGAAGAAAAAAAAGTGGTTCTTCTGCCTGATTTTTTTGTAAATATTTTTCTTTTCAGACAAATTAATCTGGTTTGGGTCCTATATTTGATGTAATATTGTAGTTTTAAATGCCATATTTTCATAAACTGCAAGCAGACAATCACTGTAATTAACAGAAATAAAGGCTTTCAAATTATTTATAGTGGATATAATGTTATTGTAAATTGACTTTTCACGAATATTCAGCTTTATTGAATAAGTCTGTATTATTTTCAGGCTTAAAAATTGAAACTCCTACTTTCATTAAATAGTTAAGTATCCTTACAATTTCTGATGGATTTTATTTTCAATTAAACATTTCTACCATTTTTCTAAATCAGTTAAATCCCCCCCTATTTATTGCATCAATTGAGATTTGTAATATTTTACTGGAGTGGGAACCCAAACATTGAGAAACAGAGTTTCTGCAGAGCCTCAGCGTTGTGTCCAACTTCCAATAAAACACATAAATCACAGTTTAAATATAAAATCCTGAAGTGAGCCAGGCAGGGATGCCTCAGTTAAAGAGACCTCATATGTTGACAAATGACATCAAACTCAGCGAAAAGCACCACAAACTTCACATTCAGCAGTGATTTTTGTGGCGTTGTGGTCAAGTGGTTTGGTACGGTTAGATCATGGTGGAAACAGTTACTCATTCTGCAGGGAGAGTCAAACGAAGCTGAAAGAGATGTCACAATGAACGTGTTTCACAGAGACAGATGCCATCAGAGCGACGGCTGTAGACTCAGAGTGCTTTTTGACCGTTTGCTGCTGGTTCATCCCTGAATGCGTTGAACAAAAGGCAGCAGGGAGTTTTTCATGCTTCTTTCAGATGATTCTTATCTGAAATTCTCCTTCAAGTTGGACCCGTCCGGTTTTTCAACTAAATTCTATCCAGTTCAGAAAAGAAGTAAACTCCACTACCTCCAGCTGTTTTTATTTTAATCTTAGCATAAATACAACGGTTCCTTGAGGGCCTGCAAGTATGAGGAGGCGTTTTTAAAGTTACACAGTGAAATATTTTGATGATAATATTTGGGTTATTCAGGGTGTCATAAGAGAAACAATGAAGGTTTATTTTTCAAAGTCAAATTTTCATCATGCTATTCATTCATTTATAAATGTCAGCGTTTCAAACTAAATATTTGATTAGCAAGCTAAATATTTAGCTTTGGGCTTGCAAACTAAATAGTTAGTTTGAAGCTAAATGCTTAGCTTGCTTTGCAACATTAAGGAGGAACGTTGTGATGACATAATGCGGCGTGTCAGAGCTTCTTAAAGAGACGGAGGCCCAATTTCAAGGCGTTAAATTGCAAAGTCAAATTTCATCCAAGTCATTTTTGATACATACAGCATTTTTATAACAACTGAAGGTAACACGGTTGCTTGATTGCGCTATAAAATGGCACCATGTGCCTGGAAAATACATAATACCGCCCCTTTAAGATATTTAGGTTCATACACAATTAAACATGGAAACTGTTATGTTCTCAACCATCAGCTATTATAAACATCAATAATGACATACAGCTCATTTACCTCATTAACTTTTCGTTAATATATTTAGCACATTATTTTGTGTTTGTCTGCTTTTCCACACAAATTATGTACACCTGCAGCAGGCTGATTTATACTTTAGCTGTTTGACATTAACCCAGATCTCTCAGGATCCTCAGTGAGAATCCAGGTCACACTGATCCTACACTGCAAAAACACAGAACCTTACCAGGTTTTGCTCTTGTTTCTACTACAAATACATTAGTACACTTCAAAAAAACAACAAAACTAATTTAAAAGTAACATTTCAGAAAGATATAGGAGCTTAGTTTAGGTCAACAATTCCTTGATTTAAAAAATACAAATTCCATTTCACTTGTATTATGCAAAAAATGTCTTGCTATAAGTGAAATAATCTGCCAGCCGGAGCTGTACTTTTTATGAGAATCAAGGAATTATTTACTTAAAATAAAGTTCTATATCTTGCTGCAAGGTTAAGTCAGTTTGGTCTTATTTCAAGCTAAAACATTGCTAAAATATTCGCACTATAAACTAGATAAAAATGTATGTGGTAAGATTTTGTGTTTTTGCGGTGCAGATAAATATTCACGAGAGCTGGGGTCAGTTTAATCAAGGGAATTGTTTTTTTTTTTTTTTTTCTCCATCTTATATGTTAATATTTAGCACAGAAACTCTGCATCAGTTGATCATTCCAGCTGATACTGGACATTGATTACAGTTCCCAAAGATCCCAGTGAAAAAATATCACAACAGAAGAGAATCAGGAGTAAATACAACATAATAAATGAATGTTCACTTTGTTCTGGATCAGAGTAAACACAGCTATTGTTTTCCCCGCTCTCCTCCCGTTGCCCTATAAGTATGGCTTATGCTGACTCTCAGTCATGTATACAATATTATGGCATGCACTTCCAGCCTTCTCAGTTTTACAAATATTTGCTATACAAACTCCTCATGTTTATTAAAAGTACTGAATTACACTGTTACAGAAAGATAGCCAGGCGAGGGCCCTTTGGGAGGGAAAAGGAAAACGATTCCAAATGAGAAGTAATGATTCATGCCACAGATAGTGTGTAAACTCAAATATATGCTGGACCTCGCAGTGATATTGGACAGTTCCACTTTATGCAATTTTGATTGGACCTGAATGTTGCATAGACAACTCGGGATCGCGTTTCTCTAAATATGGCAGCGTGAGCACTTCTGGGCGTGTGTGACTGTGCGAGTCGGACCGGTTTGAGGTGGGTGGTCTCCGCTCACTTATCATTATACAACACAAAAGCCTCATTGGTATTTTGAAAAGGAAATTAATATTGCCATCAGCAGCCGCTCTTGCGTGTGTGCTTCCAAGCGCGGCTGTGTTTGTGTATGTCTGAAGCAGAGCAGTGAATTTCCACAGCAATGCAAGAATTTCCACCTTGAACTCCAAACGATACCGTCAAGCTGAGCGGCGGCGGAGGTTATCAATCCTGCAGGTTTTTCCACGTCAGCCGGGATTTAAAGGGGAAACCTATCGTGTGTGAGCGCAATCTGCTTTTTCTGCATTCTTTTCTCCAGCATCTCTGCCTCAAATTCCTAGAATGAGTTTAATTTCACTTTTTTCTTTGTTTTAATGATATGTGGGAAACTTTTACCCTTGACATCATCTGCAACATGCATCATAGAATCCAGGTGAAATAGATATTTCACTGCAAAAACACAAAATATAACCAAGAATTTTTGTCTACTTTATAGTGCAAATATATTAGTACACTTAAAATAAGGAAAAAATAACTTGGATGTAACATGACCTCAGCGTTATTAGCGCCACGCTCTAACCAGCTGCGCTAACCTACATTTTTTAATCCATATTCAACGATTTTTGACTTAAAACAAGCTTATTTATCTTGCTAAAAAGTTACTTTTAAGTTATTATTCTTATTTTAAGTATTTATTTTCACTAAACACTAGATAAAAATTGTAAGATTTTAAGTTTATTTCCCCACATTTTCTTACGTTACAGCCTAACCATTCCTACAATGAAGCAAAGTGTTGGCAACATCATGCTATGGGGATGTTTTGCAGCAGCAGGAAAAGTCAAACAAGTCTGGATAGAGGGAAAGATAGAGACAGATACATCCTGGATACAAACCTGCTCCAGAGCCTTTTGACCTCAGACTGGAGTGAAGGTTCATTTGTCAGGAGGACAATGGCCCAAATTATATAACCAAGATCTCAGAGGCTTCAGATCCAGTCTGGGAATGTTCTGGTGGAGCAAAGTCAGAGTTCAAACTTGAATCTGCTAAACATTTCTGAAGAGATCTGAAAATGGCAGCACAGACGTCTCCCACCAACCTAATGGAGCTGGAGAAGAACTGCAAAGCAGAATGACCCAAACTGCTAAAAGATAGATGAGCTAAGCTAAGCTAATTGCTAGGTTATTTGCTGCTATTTTTATGTGCTGTTTTTTCTTTTAACATCTGGACAGGACAAATATCACATTTAAATGTATTTTATGTTTCATATGGTAGCACAGATGATTTACAAATTTTATTTATTAGTAGTTTTAAGTTTTGATTAATTTTAAAACTTACCAGCAAGTTTTGAATCGATGACGTCACCAGCTTTCCGGACTTCCGGTTCGATTCGTTGGAGCGGATGGAGCACAGGAGCGGACGTATTTTTATTTAGTTTTGTTGGTCCCACGAAGAGTGTAGCCACCCAGCGAAACGGTGCGACGAGGAAAACAACGATGATGTGAAACAACCTCAGATTTATTTTAGTTAGCGACTTCTGTTTGTGTCTGTAAGCTGACGGAGGGAAACGCCATCTTTAAACCGGAAAACAAGCGGCTTGAGTAGCAGACCAATCAGGTGAGTCCGTTGGGAGACGTGATCCAGCGCGTGTCTTAAATTGTGAAAGAGGTAAATAATGAAAGTGAGATCTTGGTTTTGTTTTTAATAAATTTACAAAAATTTCTAAAACCTTTTCCACATTGTGAAAATGAGGTATTTTTTGTAGAGTCATAAAGTTGTGAGAAAATAATACAAACTTTCCATCATTATGTGACATTATAAACTCAGAAATCTGTAGGATAAAAACTCTGAAGTTTTCTGTAATTGTAAAGTAAAACATTTGCAACAAAAAATATGCCAGAGAGTAAGTTGAGATGGTAACCTCAGGGAATATTTTTTCTCTTTTCAAGTATCAGAATCTGCTTCGATTTGCTTTCAAATCTGAACCCAAGTCATCAATCCTCAAAGTCTTAAGCAACGTTTTGTCACAAATGTCTGATAATTTCTTGTATTTATTTAACTTCTGAGCTTTTCTTTCAAGTTTCTGAAGTTATAAGACAGAATCTTAGCTTTAATATTGTAAATTAATGCCTTTAAGCATGAAAATTAGAATTCTTTTGAAATATCAACATTTCTGTGAAAAAAAATCCATTTATTTTTAATATAAAAATATATTTTTTGTAATATCAGAAATGTTTTTGGTCGAATTATACTCTTCCATGGCCACATTTTCTGTCATATCTACAATAGCCTTAATATTCTGCCGTACAGAAGCATATTTTAAATATTTAATACGCAGTCGGTTCTGAAAAGGATGCTTAACTCATCTTTTGCGTTAAAGTTAGTTTACTTACACTTGATCTGACTTTTACAATAATAAACGTCTAGCAATTTATATTTCATCTGCTTTATTGTCTTTGTACTGTGCACTAATTTGGAAACATAAAAATATTAGTTTTACACTAAGTTTTTGTAATTCTATTTACAAAATGCTTTTGTAAATAGAAAACTAACATATAAGTGTAAAAAGTAACGGTCATAATAAAGGAGACGAGTGTTGAACACATGCTATAAATTTTAATAGACATATTGATATTTCTGAGGAGAAACAGAGTTATCCCTAGTTTTATTTACAATACAGGAATAAAAAAATGTCACATACAGTACAATGGTAAAAACAAAATAGAGAACTTAAATAATTATTTTATTTGTGTAACTACTTAAATAATGAAAACGGTTATTCTATTCACACCACGCCGTCTCAGCAGCTACAATGCAACTTTCACATTAAGTGCTAAAAAAGTTATGATTTTTTTTTTTTTCATTTTACAGCATGAATATTCCATCCTGATGCATTAAACCCAGGTAGAGCTGAGCGAAGCAGGAGATGAACGACAAATACAGAATTTATTGGATTTGCTTTTTAAAGTACACGTAGAAGAAAAACAAAACAAAACAAAAACATTTTATCATCCAAACTGTTAAACAGAACTGGACTCATTTTCATAACTTTGGGGAAACAAAATAAAATGATCAATTAAAGGAATGAGTGTATTGCATATGCATGAATGCCTGTGTGAGCCAACTGAAAAACATGCACTGATGGATCTCCTGACAATCCCAGCTGTGTTTAACTTTTTGTTGCTCACGAGACAGTTTAGTCACGACGAATATTTTCCCTTCGGTTATTCAGAAATCTGCACTTGGTGGATAAGATCTAGCCCTGACTGTGAGCTACTTCCACTGCGACTCGGAGGCCCGACTCCATCTTTGATCATCTCACAACAGAGACACATTTTTGACAGTGGTAATATAATCATATGTCAGGGGAAATAGATGTTCTCCCCCAACTGTGGTGAGTTATTCTATGCAGGCACAGACATGCAATACATTTACACTGACAAAAAAAAAAAAAAAAGAAAAAAAGAAAAATCCACACGTGTCTCTTTAAAAGCTGCAATATATATATATATATATATATATATATATATATATATATAAGTACAACATGACCTGACAAGCTTAGTGTAAAACTGCCTTCTAGAAACACCTTATTCTCCCATATATTATTACGATTAAAAAAATAAACTCTCTTCTACGAGAGTAATGCTAGATTCTTTTTTTGCGATGCTAAGTAGTAAGCTCTATTGGAAATATACATCACTGTGTTGTTTCTTCCCTTTGTAGTTTAGAGTTTGGGTTTTAGTTTCAGTGTGTGACAATGAACTCAGTTTGTTGGTGGAAGCCTGTGATTTTTCTGGTGTTTAACGTCAAGCCACTCTTAAAATTCATTTCAGGAAGTGAAAAGGAATACAGTGCATGAAAGCCAGATACGCATTCAGAATCCTGAAACTCGCTTGGTTCTTTGTGTTTTTGCTTCTTCTATTCAATTTAAAAATACTTTATTCACCTCAAAGGTAAACTAAATGTTGGAACTTGTTTAATCCTGGCATCTTCAAAGAGTCGTTGTGGATGGTGATGCTGTGGGCACTAGCAGCCAGTTTTGCAACAAATCTGAAGAGGCCTCTGACATGCTAACAGTTCAGATGATATTCCATAGTAACATGTCCTGGATGACACCATCAGTTGTTAGCTAGCACTGCTAATCCACCTCATTTGCTTTTGCTGCTCCTCTTCGTATCTTCTCTATGTTGATAATAGATGAATGGTGGAAAACAAAGTATACAGACTGCAGATTGCTTTAGTTGTCATGACAACGTGCCCACTAACTAAAGATAACAACATAGGTGATACAACATGATCTTTACAAATGCAGGCTCAATGTGGCTTCTCTTCCTTCAATGTGTTGCATTTGAAGATGGATATATTTGCTTTTGATTGAGAATGAACTGGTTCTCGAGCTGAGCCAGGCTTTTTAATCCCTAACAAAGTCCTGAAACTGGTCTTAGTAAGCCCCTGAAAAAAAAAGAAGAGGAGCCAGAGTCTCGGTTTGGTGCGGTCCATTCCAGATAAGTTCCTGAAGCTGTGGAGGCAGCCGAGAGCGGGTGAAGAAATGTCTGCAGGCCTCTTCCAATGTGAACACGGCTTGGATGCCAGGCCCGGTGCTCAGAACAAATAGCTTATAGGCGAGAGGAGGGAGAGTTTCTTTCGGGTGAAAGTGGATCCAAAGCAGTCTGAAGAGATCCCGGGTGTATCTGTGGTGTTTCTGTGTGTGCGCTCGTTTGCACTCAGGTGAGGGAGATTACAAAGCCACGTTAATGACGCCTTGGTACGAGTCTGCTGGCGGTGATAGGTAGATCTGTGTCAATGTGGCGGCGGGGAGCAGGCCCCTCCGCGCGCCCCTATACGATGTAGGTGGTCAGGTCCAAGAGGTACGAGGTCATGTCGATGATGTGATCCAAGATGCCGTCTTTCTCCTGGTCGTTGGGCATCCCCCGCTCACTTTTCTCGCACTGAGCGCCAGAGTAGCCGCTCTTACACAGGCACTTGTTTGGCTCTATGCAGACTCCTCCATTGCGACAGCTTGGTTCACATTTAGCTACAGTCACAGAAAAGCACAAAAATTAGCCGTAAGCTAAATTAAAACTTCAACTAGTGCACATGTCAGGAGGGGAAAAACAAATGTATTTTAGTCTCAACGGTAATAAGGCTGAATCAATTAATTGGATCATTTAAGTTAAAATGACCTTCACTGTCTATAAATACCTGTTAAGTTTCACCAGGTTCTAATTCTGGGGAAAAATCCTGTTAACATGCTTTTGTTATCCAATTATTAATCTGTTAATCCAAAAAATAATCAAGAGATCAGATGTAGAGCGTATTGATATTAGGTCAAATAGAAAAGGCTGAGCTTTTCACATGTTGATGCTCGAAGAATTGTTTTAGCTAAGGAGGCATCCTTGGCAAATGATCAAAAGAAATGCTATGTTATTGCCTTTTTTAAATAATAAAAATTTAATTCAACTGAATAATAGTAATTTAATTATTAGTATATTTGCATCTTTTAATGCATTTCTAATATTGTATAAAAAGGCTTAAAAGAAAAATCTGCAGAATGTGCCAGTTTATCTGATTAATAGATTAAGTTGCAGCCTTTAATAATACTAACCTATTCGGCAGAAGGGTCCCTCCCAGCCGGAGCTACAGCAGCACTTGCCAGTCGGAGTGCAATGTCCGTTTTTGCAGTTTCTGGAGCAAGCTGTCGTTAGTAGCTCTGGTGGCTCCACCGGGCGCTGACACTCCTTGGGGGAATGAGGCCTGCAGAGAAGAACAAGATCAAAGTCAGTATGATGAACCAGGAACTTAGCAGATATTATCACAGAAGATCTAAAACAATCTGCTAACTCCCAAACATTTTGCTAATAAGTGGACATATTTGGACACTTTGGGTTCACAACAGTCCTGTTTAGTCCGCTTTAATCCAACTCTACTTCATTTGCCCAGATGGTTATGATGTTCCACTTGTGAAAGTAAATCTTTTGGGCTTCACCTTGACAACAATTTTGAGTGCTACACTGCCAAGCAAGATATGTAAAAAATAAAATAAAATAAAAAATAAGAAAAAGATGGACAAAATATCAATTTTAAAGTTGAGCTATTTCACAAGAAAATGTAGGAATATTTCAGATTCTACACATGCAAAACTGGTGAAGAGATACTCTGGGATACCAGCAGCTATGACTGTAGCTGGTTCTAAGTACAGAGGTACAGAACACAAACGCACGCTGCACTTCACTGATTTCATGTGTTATAAATCCTAAAACCCATCTTCCTTATGCTGCGTCTATAAACATGAAATCCAAGTGCGAGTGAAAGAAAACTTCGGTCACATTTTAGTGCTGCACGTTGAAGGGTGAGGCTGAAAACAAGAAAGGAGTAAGTAACTATTTATTTGCTTTTTTAATTACATTTTATGAGGATTTTCCTTTTATTTGAGTCATGCGGCCATTGTTTTTTTTATAAGCCCCAGAAGGAACAGCTATAAACTTTCTAAATGTTAAGAGCTTATAAATCAGTGTGAAGGACTAGGATAACAACAATAACATGTAGGGCAGCAGCCAATGAAGAACTACAGAGTCTTCCAAAACTATTCATATCTCTTGAAGTCTCACAATTTGGCAGAATAAATACACACACTCAGTACATTTCATTTGGAGGTTTTTGACGGGCAAACACAATGTAGTGCACAATTGGAAAGTGGAGGGAAAATGATGACCGCTTTTCACAATTTTCACAAATAAAAGTCTGCCGTGAATTTACCACACCAGAATGAGTCAGATTTGACTGCCACATAATATCCATCACACTTTATTTATTCTTTGACTAGGCCGCTCTAATGTAGCTCTGGGCGTATGGTTTGAGTCATGACTTGGTGTAAGTTTACAAGTTTTTATAGTCTCTAAAATGTTTTCCTCTAGGACTAAACTGTATTGAGTTCTATTTATGTTCCCCTCCCCACAAAATAATGTTGCCACCACCATGGATCTCCTTAGATATTGTGTTTTCAGGGGATGAATAATGTTAGGCTGCCGTCACACTGTTTCCTATCTTGCCATGTGTGCTGGCTATTGAGAGATGTGTGGTTTGCAGAAAGATCTGAACTTGACAAAATGAAGGACATTTTGTGGAAATATGCGTGGCACTTTTGATGCACACCTTTTCTGAATAGTGCATGTGTGATGGGATCAATGATGTGGAATTCAGTGTCTCACTGCATCAGGATGCAGTGTGTTACTTTTGGGCTTAATGAAGTCTGAGGACTCCAAAGCACTTTACACTATAATCAGTCATTAACTAATTCATTCACACACTCATGGTGGAAGGAAGAAGCGGTTGATATGGCTTAAAAATAAAATCTACGATTGTTTTATACAGAATCTAATTTCTGATTATGGATTTTTTCTTCTCACTGTCGTTTCTTATAAAGAATTAGTAATGACAGAGCATATTTTTTCAGAACTTGCTCTTACTTAAATCATCCCATCTGAAGTTAACCTGAATTCAAAATGCAAATGCATACAAGCTGGAAAACAAGATGGAGGCCTCTGGGTAGACTGACATCCGTCTGAGTTACAGAAACCCAAAAGTTTATTGGTGGAACAAAATCCCAGTTTTCCAAAAATTAAATATTCAAAAACAGAAAATTAAATTAATTGATCAAACTGATTTAAAGACCAGCTCTGATGGTAAGCCACACTACAGCCACAGCTACCATGGACTGACAGAACCACCAACAGCAGGTAAAACAAATGTCTTGTCCACGGAAACGATGGCAAAGTGACTGACATGGGGGTTCAACCCAACAACCCACTGGTTGCATGACAAACCTATACCTCTGGTGCCATATATCTATGTGCATTTGCGCTCACCTGAGCTGTCAACCTCTGCAGCTATGCATGTCTTGGCTACTTCCATTTCTGTTAAATGTCCAGCCTACCAGTTTAGGTAGAGATGTTGGGTCATCTCCTGGTATGTTTCCAACTTAGCCAGACTCATACATTCTTCTTCTTCAACTCCCATTTAAACTTTTCCACAACCTTTCCCCTGACCTTTCCGTTGTGTTCCTTGGTCTTTATGATGCTGTTTGTTCAGTAATCTTCTCTAACAAACCTCTGAAGCCTTTACACAACTGAATGTATGCCGAGATTTACACTTCTTGCACTGAATTTGACCTAAAACTCAAAGTAAAGGGAGGCTGAACACAAATTATTTGTAAAACTATAAATTGAAACCTTTCACTTTTACATAATACTACTTTGAGCAAATCTGTCACATAAAATCCCAGTGAAATACAATGAAGTTTGTGGCTATAATGAGGCAGAAAATGACTACTTGTGCAGAGCACCGTAACAATCGTTGTACATTCTGTCTTTTTGTGGTTCCCCCTCTTATATTTCTCCAATCTGAGGAGCAAAACCATTCATATGGCTAAGACAAGGCCACTTCTAGGATATAAACATGACTTGGAAAATTCACACAGACACAAACACAAACATCTCCACACCATATGTGTCAAGTTTGAGAACCAAAGAGACACACTGCGACCGTTCCGTATTAAGACAAACATCCAGACACGCACATCGGCAAATGGGCTGAAACTGAATCTTTTCACATCACGCTCCATGAGTCTGGAAATAATACAGAGTGCGTAATCAAGTTCAAATGTGAAGTGTCTGTTGTACACTGGGCCACACACAAACACACAGACACATGTGTGTTTGTACACACACATGTACAAACACATGAGTGTGTCTGTTTGTGGGGGAGAGAGAAAGAAATATTGTTGCGTTAACATTTCTGTTGTGCTGAGGGACAAAACACTGGACAACCCAACACACAGTAACACAAGCGGGGTAACTGGACTCTGGTCGACTCAGTCTGGTATGAGAGGCAACGAGCATGAGAGGTGAAGTCAGTGTGTGTGATGTTTAGGCCATTAGAGAACGAGCCTCATCAATCATGGTCTAAGAGCAAATGGTCATTCAGCAGCAGAGGCCAAAACTAGATGCAGTTCAGGACCAGTGTTGAAAATGTCTGCCTTTTGAGCCAAAGTTTCTTTATGAATATAACTTTGACCTGTGGCTGATATCCTTCACCTGACAAAAAGACGGCTTAAGTGTTTTGTGTGGCCTTGTTTAAGTTTTATAAAATAAAAAACATAAAATAACATTTTATTTTGCTCTCGTGCTCAATACATTGTGATGAAATCCAACAATTTTTAAATAAAGACTTAATTATTTGACTGAAATGATGCCAAGATCAACAGTAGTAGACTTCATTGCTGGTTTATCCACTGATAAACAGGCAGTGATTGATTTCCTCTTTTTTTCTGTGGACCTTCCACCATGACAGGTGTTTTAATGGCATCTTTACCACTTTATAAACTGACCTGCATTTAGTCATAGTCACAATCCTGAATTTTTTTTAATCACCTCAGTTGTGGACACTGCTACCAGAAAAGTTAGTTGCATTAACCCTGAAGCACTAATCATAAGCATTAGCTATTGCTAAAGCGCTACACCAGCATTATACTTAGCAGAAGCTAATGCTAAAGCGCTAACTGCAATTCAAACTACAGTGATTGGGCACAAAATTAATTTTTGACATTACAATTTATATGTTCTATTATATTGTATTTATTTTTTCTAAATGGTCCCTGTCTTATTTTGTTCATGTATGTTTCATGTTTGGGAAAGAAAGACAAAGTGAGGAGAGGAAATGGAAGTGCTGTGTAAATAGTCTTCACCACTTCAAAATAAAAGCATAAATATCAACGTCTAACCACTTGGAGAGTTCTTAAGTCTATAACCAAAACTTAAACACAGATGTTGAACTTTATTCAACAGAAAGTTTACAAATCAGCCAAGAAAATTTGCACGTTAGAATTTGTCCTGAAGAATGAACTGTGTTAAACGTTTTCAAAGTAAGCAAACGTACTAAATGAAAAATCTGTGCCACCATTACTGCATTAGCGAAGTGTGCCCATCACTGGGCCTGGGACCTGCTGTCTTAAAAGTCTGAGGAATTGGTTTGGGAATTTTTACACTCTTCAATCACATATCACTCCACATTTTCTCACCTATCTCCAAGGTTGCAGTCGGTTAAAAGAGATGATTTACCTTGATAAAATATATATTTTGATATTTCTGTTCACCTCCCTGCTTAAAAGACACCCACCAAATGCTCTGATAAACACATTGACTGATAGCAGTGACAATAAAGTGGCTGTTCATGTGCTGTAATGGCTTTTAATTTCACGATTGAAGGTGGGGAGGGAGGGGGGTCTGATTCCCATGCTCCCATCAGCACCCAACTGCAGACTCCATGCCTGTTGGCTTTTGTTGCTGCAGGCTGCATGTAGTTAAAAAAGAGCAAAAAAGGAAGAAAACAGAAAGAGAAGGAAAAAGAGAAAGAGTAAGAGTCCCTGGAGAGTTGGGGGGTCTGTAGCGAACACTGTTAATAGCAGGCAGGGGTCAGCAGCACTGCTAAACAGCCTGTACGGCTGCCAGGGAGGCTGTGAAAACAGCACCTGCTGGTAGCGCCACTTGACAAAGGCAGCTGGGTCAACAGCCACTGTGGGAATTTATCAACTCTGGAAGGGGTGGTGCATGTGTGATAGTGAGAGAGTAAAAAAGGAAACACTGCGCTCATGTTGGTCAGATAAATTCACAGAAAGAGATACAAATAACTCAACTTCAATGGTTGCATTTACATGACAATATAATATATATTATAGGATAATGTTCAGGACTGGAAACAGCTGTTTACACAACATATGAGAGAAAAAAATCACACATACATTTGTGTTGTTTCAGACGTTTGTTAAATATTCTTTTAAAAATTTGTTTCAGATTTGATTTTTATTGAAGCCGGGGCATATTTAGCTTGTTAGCTTGTGAGCCCTGTTTGATTGACATGAGGTATATGTGAGAAAAGCGCTATGGAGTGGTGTACATTGTGCACCTTAACAATGGCTTAATCAAACGGCCCAGTGTGGTCTCCTTTGCTGTTTTGTCATCTGACTCCATTGTTTGCAGGCTCCTTTTGTAGCTTCATTCCTTGTTTTCTCCTTGTGCGAGAAATTTACTGTGCATTGTAGAATCTGGGGCTATTCAGTGGGGCTGGCATGCAGCTTTGTGAAGGAAAGGACCACAGCAGAGATGTAGGAAGATTTAAGAGGGACAGGGAAATAGAGAAAAGGCTTTTTTTTTTTCCTGCAGGGTGCTGGGAGCAAACGCAACGCACGCTCACAAAGACTCACAGATGTGCGAGTAGCCACCACCCACACAGTTTGCATCCATACACACAACCCACAGAGAAGCACCCCATGTCCGCTTTCTGAACACATTAGAGATTTGTAACTTCCAGAGCTAACACAGTTCATAAACGGGGAGCCTATATGAAGAAAATTAGCGAACCTCCAGTTGAGAAAGTCTTGAATATGTGAAATATACTTCCTGGTCATGCTCTCTCTTGTTCTTTGTGGCGAAGGGTCGCACTGATCAGAAAGGGAAATAGCATTTTACACTAGAAAGCATCACAAGGGTTAGCTCTTTTTACTTACAATGGCTGTATGAAAATACATCGTGTTTTTCTCACTGCCTGACATTAAATCAGACTGAACCGTAGCTGTTTAAGGCCAGTTAGGGCTCAAATTATTTACATTTGCTAAAATATTGAGAGAATGCTTTATTACTTAGTTCAAATTCAGAAGCTTACAGCATATTCATTAGATTACTATGCCATCAAACTATTTGGGAAAGCATAATTATGATACCATGTCCTGGAGGTCTTCAGATAGACATCTCAATTAACTGGAGGCACACCTATGGATGCAACTTAACCTTATAGTGCTTTGTGTGTGACACCGTTGGGAAATCAAAGGAAATCATGAAAGAAATCAGATAGAGAATTAAGTAGCTCAACAAATCTGGTTTGTCTTTGGGCATTGATCTTAATTAAAAAATCATGCTTAGCTAGAAAGGTGTGTGTGCAAGGAAAGCAGCCCGAAGGCCTAAGCTACAATAGGTTTGTCAAGCAAAAAGAGCCAAAATTCCACTAAATACCAAATAATTGTCCGTCCATTCCATCAGTCCACTACAGTTTGAAAATGTATGTAAAGTTTACAATTTAACAAAAAAAATTGAAAGTGAAGAAAAGAATTTTATATTTAGCAAATATAAATAACTGTGTTAATTTTAACAGAATTAAAGCAGGAAATAATATATGTCATTTGATTTGAAGTTAGACTACTGTAAATAACTTGTTTTAACTGGAATGTATGCATGGAGAATATATCTGCTGCTGGTCAATACTTTATGTTGGGAGCACAGGCGGGATCACAGTGTCGGATAAATCCCTACAAAACAAGGATTTTAAAATGTATTCTTAAAGTGTGTAAATAAGTGGTTAGACAAGAGACGAGTCTCAATGAAAGTCAGGTGGGCAAACCTGCTGCTTTGCCCACCTGCTGTGAGCTACATTACTATTCTATGTAAAGCACTTTCTATTACCTTGTTGTTGAATGTTGCGGCACAACACGCATGCATTGATGCCCATTCTAAAGCTGTGGCAATAATTATAGTGGTTATATAAAGACTATATCTTCTGAAATCTTTTCATCCCACTGCTCTGCCACAAATAAGCCCCCTCCAACATTTTTTTTTCTTCCTCTCAAATCAGTCATACCGCACACATTCAGAGTGTTTCAAAATGCATGGTGGCCTATTTATTATTGGAGGGGTACTCCAACTGACAAACAAATACCTAGAAATGAAGTCATCTGGCCAGGACATGTTTACACAAACACTGCTGAGCGATTTTATGGCTGATGTTTTCTTGTAAGCCTTTACCGCTCCCCCTAACAGTTTCACCATTTTCCCCCGCTTCTCTATGTTCCCAAACATAAAGTTGATGAGAACGCTGACCAAGATGCTGCACCGAACCACAAAACCCACTACACCCCAAAGCAGAGCTCGGTTTGAACAAGCTTTAGGGTCTGGATGAGAAAAGACCACCAGACTTGATAACGTGCTGAGGTCAGACACGTTAGCTGCTTCGGTCCTCGTCAGCCCCTCTCCTTTCTCTTTGAAACAAGATCCTAATAACGAAGCCGGTGTGTATTAGGAGTCGGGCCTCCAGCACCACAGGGTCCAGTCAGACTAAACACCTCCAGTTGATGGTGGAAAGAACTGTTCTGTGGGAGAAACGCGTTCGGCAGCCACTCCAGAAAACATAAATACAAAGCAAGCCACGAGGGCCCCTCTGAAACATCTGCGGTTTCATTAATTGCGTGGATGCCTGGGTGGCACTGTCGTCACTCAGGAATAATCAGCTGCAAATATGTTTCTATTATGAATCCGACGCATACAAATTCTCCTTCTGAGAGTCTGCTTTGCTTATTTGATCTGTCTGATTCAATCAAGCGTGACAAACCTTTAAGCAATAAAACAGATCAGGGATTTTCTCTCTACATTCCACTTGATGACTTCGTGACTTGAGTGGTTAGTCTCAGTCCTACGAGAACGTTCTCATCCATCTTGAGCAGAATGCTGATGATAAGATAGGGGGAAACATCAGCTGCGGTTTGGCTGGGCGCATAAAACAAAATTGGTTTGAAAAACAAAGTCTCTTTATGTCTGAACTGTTTTCTTTCTTGTGACTTTTTGCTTGCTCCTCCCGTACTGTGTGGGATATATTTTTTTCCTCCATTTGGGAGACAAATGTTTTTCACATGGGTTTTATAGAGCCCTTATTTTCAAAATGATTTTTAATACTTGAATGCATGTGGAACAGATTATGACCTACTGACACGCACATTTATAAATGATAAAGTTGCTTTCATACGCACTCCCTGCACATTTTCCTGCACATTAGTTGCGGAGCATCAAATATTTGAGTATTAGACTGCACACAGAGAGATTGGGTTTCACTCTGGAAAATCGATGTGTGTGTGCTGAAGCTTTGTGACATGTGCGTCAACTTTTTCCCCAAATGTGCTCATTAAAATAGTTGAGAGCAGGTGAACTTTTCAGTAAAACACCACCAACAGAGTCATACAAGTTAATCAGTTTAGCTACTAGCAGTTCCTTCCTTACAATAACAGTTTTGAAATATTATCCACCAGTTTCTGCTCAACTCTTTTTTGAAAAGGTGCTCGGGTGACGACCTGTTGAAAAGCGTTATTGCTTGACATGATGTTTAGGCTGTTCTGGAACTATTTCTGGTTTTCTTTGAGGTTTAGCGTGAGGAGTAGTATCGCTCAAAAAAAAGAAAATGTGGAGCAGGTTTCTTGATACAGGTAGTCATTTAAAAAAAAAAAATACCCCTAACTTAAGAGTTAAATACAATTCTGACTAACTGCATTACAGTAAATATGTTTAAATGACGCATGTAGACACAAAATGACAGGAATTGTAGTTGGGAAAGGAGTTGCTCAGTATTTATTTTGCAGATTACTGATCTGATAGCTTAATTATTCTGCTCTTTGGACCAACAATTGGTGCATTTCCAATCATTACTCTGCAATATATAATATAGGGGTCTAATGCTAAACAAAAATCTATGTTTGATATGCTTTTGGTTCATTCTGATGAAGAAAAACCAATAATTAATAAAGAACAAGTTAGTGAAGCCACTTACAGGATGGATGATTACACAAAAATGAAACCACTTGAAAATTATGAAAAATAAATGTGGAGACATTTGAGAATTAAAAAATGTTTTTAAATGAGAAATGAGTTTTTAAAAAATATATATTTAGACAATATAGTGTACCAGAAGTACTTTAATGCACCAGAAAATCACAGCTGTTGTGAGTCATCACTCCACAATACCAGGGTGTTATTATGCTGTGCAGTGTTTTGGACTGGTTGAAAGCTGCAGGCAGCTGGATTTTGACGTTAGGTGATTTTTAATCTAGTACCAATAATTTTTATGCTCCCAAACAGCAGAGTTCAGTGATAGCTGGGAGTCCTCTGTGTTTTGTTTTGGAGTTGTGCTACAGAACATTCTTAGTTCCACACGCACACACGCACACACATGATTCATGTGTTTGGTTTAAAACAACACTGGATTTGTTTGGTGCATGCGAGTACCAAACTGACAAAGATGTACTGGATGTGTTCGATACAAATACGAGTGTCACTTCACCCCTGAAGTAGAGAAGGGCAAGAGCTAAATGAGTAGAAAAAAAGAGACATATTTGCGTTGCAATCTGATACACTAGGATCAATGCTTTCATTTGTGTAAGTTGGAACCATGAGGGATACATCATAAAGGCAGAACAGCATGGAATTACGAGTGAAGGACTAGTTGGTCCTTCTGGACAAACAAGAATCACTTATTCGCTGAGCAAAGACTCAATTAAATAGAACAAAAAGTACAAAAGAATTTGCTGAGTGTACCTTTTCGGGTCTACCAACTTGTAGAGTTTCCCGCTGTGTGACTGTGCCATGCTTTTACTGCTCGCTAGAATGTAGACTTCACCTGCAAAAGTGAAACAGTCACAGCAAATTCCTGTTAATATTTTATCGTTGGATTACATAAGTCTATTCGTAGCATGCATGCAGGCATAAGCAATTTATAAAAAGAGATAACATGTGACAAGACAGGCAGACAAGAGGATGAAAGGGAAGGACAGATGAAGAAAATAAATGTAGCTAAAGCTTCCACAATGCTCCACACTAACCAAGGCACTTTAAGAAAAAGTTTAATGGGACAATTGGGTACTCATGACTGGGAAACAGGCGGATAATTTAATGAGGAACAAGCCTGCAAGAAAATTCCATACGGGGATAAATTGTAAACATGTGTCTGTGAGGCCCCTTCGTTGGGACATATAATTCTAGCATTGCTGGCAAAGCATGAGCCAATGCAGGAATCTATAAAAAGCTCATCAAATAATAACTCCAAGACCTGGCAATAACAGTGATCCAACATTTATGAAGCCTGTGTGAGCAATTCACATCAAATGTACATTTTGATTCAAAACATCACAGCCCACAGAGAACCATTTAGTAAGTGCGAGTGCATTCATCTCTGTTTATGTTTAGTAACTGTTAATTTCTACAGTTTTGCTGTTAGAAATTAACATCATTAGCAAAGCAAAACATTGCTTCAGGCATTGTTTTGGAGCAATGACTTCAATATTGATTCTACTTTCCGTGTTTTAGGGACGCTCGTCTTTCCCCAACGCCACTTTTTAAGTCAGACACCGTTTCTCATACCGTATAAAATCTCAATCACTCTGCATTATGGTCCTGATCTGACACCACTTCTTTAAATCCTGTGAGAAAGCAATCGCATGCAAGAAAATCCTGTCATGCTACGACATCAAACTGCCATTGATAACACTTCTGTGCCAAGATGTTTCCATGATTTGATTGCAATAATTAGCAATAATACAACAACCATGTTTATTTATTCACTCTAATTTAAAGGTGGATGCTCCTCTTCCTAATTGAGAACGTTACTGCCTGATGTAGTACTAATAGCAGCCACAGCGCCAAGAGCATTGTGCTTCACTACAGTGTTTGTGAAAATATGTTGAGGTCGAACTTTACCAACATATTTTAATATTGTCTGACAAAAAACTTAACCTTGTTGGACATGTTAACCTTGCAGATATATTGTCATTTAAAAAATTCTTAAAAACCACAAACTGCAGCTTGTCCATCGCCATAAGAGATTGTCACTGATTGGGTGGCTGCTGCTATTCGGCGTGTTTGAACATGAGATTAGCTAATTTCTTAATATTTTCATGTGTTTCTGTTTTTTTTTATTATTATTATTTCTGGTGTTTTCCAGTGTTGCATGATATTTCATAATAATTTTAATTGATTGTTTCTAATCCATTCTGTGGGATTTTCAAAGCAAAGTGAGTTTTTAAAATACATAAAATAAATAAATAATAAATAAATAAAATATTTAAAATATTTAGCATTTTGCATCTTCAAGTTATTCCAACAAATAAATTATTGTAGCAATACTTGTGGTAAAGATACAAGTTTTGATCAAATAATAATCACCTTTATTAGCAAAGAATCCCTGTAACAGATTACAGCTCAAACTGAAAGAAGTTACTGCAAAGATTTACTGAAAAGAGAAACTCAAATCAGACGTATAGCAGCCCTCCAATTCTCTATGGTTGGTCTGAAATTCCTGTTCATCAAAGCTCTCGCAATCTGCATCATCATCATCATCACTGTCAGGCATATCGCTGTCCTCTTTAGATGTTGTAGTCAAAACAGTAGCAACTGTGATCTATCGTATCAAATTCTTATCTACCATGTTTGAAATACAGTGTAAAATTTGCAAATGTCAGAGGTGACTACAATACCTACAAATAAATAGGTGAGTGTGTTGTCTTGTGTGTTTCACAATCGTCCTGCCTGAGAAACTCCCAGGTCTGCCAGTTTGGCAGGAGTAGCTCAAACGATTTGCAAACATTGACTTGAACCAAACTACACCAGACTAGCATCTGCTAAGAGCTAGCTTAGTGTAGTTTGTGAGGGGATCAAAGCCAAAGCATGAAGACAAGTCTCACTTCAGCTTCTCTTCTGGTGTGGCTACACCATGACTTTCAAACTCCTCACCCAATAGGCTTTAAAGCACAACAGTCGTACTTTTCAAGAATTTTGGTGTCGTTTTTTTATGCAAATATCTTAGAATTCATAAAACAAAACAAATCTAACTTACAAGTAACTTTTCATCAAGGTATAATAACTTGTTTTAAGTCAATAATTCCTTAATATTGATTTTAATAAAGTACTGGAAGGCCTTTTTTCTGAAAAAATAGTTTTCATTCTCAGTTATTCAAGTCATGGTTATAGTGGTGCATTAATAAAAAAAACTGTCATTACTTGTTTGAGCTGGACAATGTCTTACCTCTCATGGAGAAGACATTTCAACAAGAAGCAGATTTTTTTTTCTTGAATTAAATCTCCAGCTTGGAAAATGTCATAAAATAAGTGACTAAATGAATTATAATGAAGTAAAATTAAGCAGACTAACATATCTAATGTCAGTCATATAAATTGTTCAACTGCTTAATGATTAGTATTTCAAGACTCTCAGTTTGTTAGCAGCAATGTGGATGAAGCAGGAAAGGACAAAGACTGATGGCTCAGTGAGGGATTAGTGTATTAGAGAGGAGGATGTGATCTTTGGGTTTCTGCTGCAGTACTCACCGAGTTCATCCTCTCCGAAACCCAAGACATGCCCCACGAGGGGAGAGGCGCAGGAAACCGAGCCCAGACACAGAGCCTTTTCCTGCCACTGCTCGCTGTCAGACGATGTGGCAAACAGAGACTTCTGGAGGATCCGCAGGTTACTGAGGCAAACAAAACACACAGAACATTCAATGTTGAGCTAAATTTTAAACCGAAACAAACTGGAACAGAAAGATTTATTTTACACTGATGATTCACAGTTCTTGTGACAAAGCCTGAGTGAATATCTGGAATCGGGCTGAACTGTTCTCATAATATGATTCAGGAATCAATCTTCTTTTCCAACCAAAGTCGCAATTGGTGTTATTTAAGACCTCCGCTTTGGTTTCAAAACAAACATCGTGCCGGGGCTTTTCTACAGCCGCAGAGCTGCGCTCCCAAATGGTAATGAGACACAGAATTCAGCGACCACACATTGTTTTAAACACGGTGCCAACTCCTGATAGCGCACCAGCACAATATTTACTTCCTTTGCTTACTCGAGCGTCAGAGTTTGACATCAGCGAAGCAGGATGAATTACAAACCGAGGGAAAGTGTGAACAGCACAAGACAGGATGCCTAGTCTCCATTTACACTCATTGGGCAATTCTGGTGTGCTGATAGTAACAGGAAACCTGTTTGCCCTACATGGATGGAACTGGGTGCAGCTACTTACTGCATGTGTCAACTACAGGAACAACTTTTTCCATTATCTTTTCCATTTTTTTTCTGATATCCTTATATTTCCACATTAATTTTGGCTGTTTTTAAATCACTTTCCCACTAGAACAGATGTTGTTTCAGGCCTTTTCCTGCTGGAAACATACATTTAGACTGATTTCTATAAAAAAGATTAAACACTACTTTGAGAACTACTTTGAGACACTTGAATGATCCCCCTTATGCTTCACATGTAAAAACCAGTCATGCTTACCCGTTTCTATTTCCAAACACATAGCTGCCATACAGTCTCCTCGACTGGCAGCCCCTGTAGATGAAGCCCCCCACAGGTGGCGCTCCTCCACTGGACTGCAGGTCATACACAGAAGGCTCATTTTCTATGAAGGAATAAGGAGATATTGGTTTGATCTAAGCCCAACTTGATGAACTTGTAGACTGCTCGCTACCTGTAAAAACAAATCTAATATGGCTGCAATATAATTAAGCACTTTTTCCTGGAATGCAATGTTTTGTTTTGATGGCTCTTTATTAAATTTAGAAAAGAATGTGTTGCACTTTTAGATTAGATTTAATTTTACTGTCACTACACGTCACAAGAAAATGGAAATGGGAAGGAGTAAATATATGATTTTAATTGTGAGTTCAACAGCAGAAGACATCTACTTCTGAGATGGTTTCATTAGTAACAAAAGAAAATCGTATAACTAAAGTAATATGAGTCATTTTCTGGGAAACAATCATTCTGGTAAATAAAAATTTAAAGGATCTTGGCTACTTTAAAAAGAGTTGCATGCTTGTTTTCCAGTTGAGTGAATTTCAAACTATGGTGACTGGTTGGATCCCACATAAAACCAGATGAGAGCTGGTCTGAAGTAAGAAATAAATTCAGGTGAGAGATTTTGGACTAAAAGTGTCTAAATTGATACTCAGTTTAAGAAGAATTAGATCTCTCTCTGCTGTTCTTTTCAACACTTAGGCATCATATTCCTAGCCATTATTGTTCAGAGCCTTTAAAGTATTTTTATGTGGCCCAACTTACATTCCCTTTCACAATCCAAAATGCACAAAAAAATAGATTATCTCTGGTTCCAATCATGGTTTTTGACATTTACCCTTCACTGGGATTTCTAAATTTCTATCTAAAACAATGTGCTCTTGCGAAATAAAATAGATTTATAATAGCAGATGTCGGTTTTAAAGGGATGAATTCGAAAGTTTATCCAAGAGGCTGAAGTATTTCCATTCTGTACTCAAAATGTAATGCCGTCAAACAAAACTCATGCAAAGGATGTGATTAGTTACTGTTATGATGGACAACATGAACATTTTAGAACAGTGAGTTATTTCTCAACAAGGTAAAGGTAAGTATTATGACTCTTAAAAAAACATCTTGAGAATTGTGACTCACCATAATCCTTCCCCTTAGTAACTTCTAATATTCTTCCTGCCGATGTGTTTTTACCACTGGCATCTGTGCAGAGGATAACCAGACTGCCGTTGTCTGTCTGCAGCCGATCCACTACACACCTTCAAAACACAGAACACCAACAAATGCACTTTAATAGAATCAAAGTAATCAGAAACATTTAATTTATTCACATTTTGTCACATTAGAACCACTAACCTGTATATTTAAATGGGATCTTATGTGACAGACAAAAACAAAACAACACATAACTGAAGGGAAAGGAAGATGTTTCAGGAAGACGTCTGAGAAAAGCCTCAGAGAGAAGGTTAGTGACCAATCAGCATCATGAAGACCAAGAAACGCAGCAGATGGGTCAGTTTAAAGCTGAGTCAAGTTTTAAAACAATAGCCCAACATTTCTGTTCAATCAATCATATGAAAATAGAAGGACACAACTTCTGACTGAAATGCCTACCTACACTGACAGGAAAGCTTTAATCACAGAAGCAGCCAAGCGGCCCCTGGTAAGTTTAGAGGAGCTGCAGAAACCCTGAAGCTCACATGCAGATCAATACGTTTCCTAAATAATACAGTGAACGCTCACAACTTTCTTAAATTTCATTATCGGCTTTGCCCAGGAAGCTTGGGTCTCCTCAGGGTTTTTCACCGTACACTGCACCGTTTTATCTGTTTATGATCAAAGTAGCAGCTGTCTACTTTTTTGACTAGGTTTTTATGTTTGTATGTCATGCATTGTCTTTTTCTGTTTCAAGCAGCAGAGGTTGTGATTATCGTATTGGCAATAAATCATTTGACTTGAGTTTGAGTGGGAGAATCTGTCTGAAGGACAATCATTAGTGGTGCACTCCACAAATCTGGCCTTTATAGAAGAGAAACAAGAAGAAATCCAGATGCAATTTGCTACTAGCCATGTAGGGGACACACCGAACACGGGGAACAAAATGTAACTCGCAAAATGACGGAAAACTAGCACCACAAATTTCCCTGAAAACAGCCTCTCCACATGAAACATAGTGATGGCAGCATCATACTGTGGGACTCCTTGACTTCAGCAGGGACAGAGAAGGTGGTAAGATGCATGGAAAATCTGCTGAGGTTGAGTGAATCTTCCCTTCCCAGCAGGACGACAACCATAAATAAACAACCAGAGTTACAAATCGACAGTTTATATTAAAGATTAAGATTAAGATTTCAGGCCTGATCACTAGATTCTAGCTGTAATTGCTGAAGCTGCTTGCTGACTAATGTGAAAGCTCAAGGAGTATATATAAGTATCGCAACAAAACACCTCAAGAATCTCAGATGCGTTACTTACCTGCCTGGGTCATGTAATCCATGTGCAAAGATCTCAGGCGGCTGATTAGTGCTGTTAAAGTACGGATTGTTCCGTGGTATCGAGTAGGATGACGTACAAATGTCCGTGTCCACGTCCACCCTCAGGATGGACCCAGTGAAATCACTGCATTCAAAAACACACAATCTTCTGTCACAACACGGTGTTGAAATGTCCTCGTTGTGATTCTTTTGACTTTTGATCTGACCTGAGTCCATCCATTTCCTCCATGTCGTCCAGAGTGATCATACCGTCTCCCAGAATGATGTGCAGCAGGCCATCGGGAGAGAACAGAAGCTGACCTCCGAGGTGCTTCCTGTGTAACTCAGCCACTTCCATCAGCACATGGGCAGTCCTGGTGTCCACCTGGTTTGGGTTTTTCCTGCAAGCAGAGATAACTGTTTTAACTTCGATACTGGACTAACAAAAACTAAGACCTCTAACGAGGTTATGCTTTCATATAATCCCATGTATAGCATAAGCTTATCTTTTGACGGTTGCTTGCAAGAAATGCAACAGTAAGGGTAAGTGAAACATAACCACATAAAATGCTGACATTACCGTACAAAACAAACAGAATCCAAAGTTTAAAACACTTTAGCTTCTGGAGACATTCAGTTTGTCAACTGTAACGTCTTTCGCAGGAAAAATACTTTGGGTGGGGAACAACTCAGACTTCTTCAAAGTGTTGCAGAACTATGCTGAGAATTTAGTCGGACAGTGCCATCAACAAATGTGTTGTAATAGGTTAGGTGTTATTTTGGGTAATTCTAGGACTTTTAAAAAGCAGATTGCCAAAGAGAAACTACTTTAACTGTTGTTACTCCATAGAAATCCTACATTTAATAACTATGTTGCCGTCACTAGGATTGCCTGGCAATACTATAATTAAGATTAGCTCATTGAGTGAAACATAGAAAAGTGGTTAAGTACATTAAAACGTAGCATTTAAATACCTTCGTGAGAAAACACAGTTATCTTAAACATAAGTAATTATGAAAGGAGCGTTAGGCACCAACCCAGGTAAAATACTGTCATCATCATAGGAGTGCTGCTCAGCACAACAAATCATAGTGTTCTTGGAGGCTGAAGAACATCATGAGTCTCCATTACACTGTTTCAATACGACATTGTTGCCCTTACATCTTTTGTTGCCAATGTTAGTGGTAAAAATCTCAACTGATGAATCAACATTGCCATTCATTTAATCATAAATATATCTGTAGACAATGCTATTTGACACACTATTGGCTGGAATTTGCAAAGAGCCAATCCGAGAGCGTCATTCATTTTTCTTTACGCTGATTGGCTGAACTCCCAAAAGTGGAAATAAAGAAGACTGTAGATGCTAGTTTCTGCGGTAGTGCTAAGACAGGTTCTACTGTGTGTTTTAATGGATAGAGTTGTCCTGCTGGCAGGTGAAAGGTTTTGATTGCACTGTAACACCATCCATCTTTCCTTCAAATCTGACCAGCTTTTAATCTTTATTGTACTGCAATGAGGGCATTTCTGATGTTAATGTTAGTTAACATCAGTACAAGTTCATTTTGTACAGTTCATACAAAATGAACTGTATGAACATACAGTTCATTTTGTATGTTGGCCAAAGGTCTCATCTGAACTGCAGCCTTTCTTCCACCTGTTTGCTGTGACCTCTGCATGTTTTGTGGCAAACTGGACTTCCTTCTTCCTCCATTTCTTTCATATTCTTCCATATGTTTTGTAGCCTTTACCTCCTTTAAATGCCTCCATCACACTTACACTGACTTATCTGCTTTGTTTCTTGGTCTTTACAAGGTTAATTATTAAATATATTTTTCTAACAAGCAAGCCTGTTGTAGTAAGAAATTATTACAAGATAAATTAAAATGAGGTCAATAATTTCCATTGTGATGATTAATATGCTTTGAGAGGCAAGACTTCATACTCTATTTTATGTAGGGTTTCGGTTATGTGTGGTCTTTATTTCCTTTTTATTTATTGTTTTTGGTTGCTGGGTTTTATTTGGGGTATTTAAAATGTCTTCCAGTTAAAGTGCGGAGTGCTCAGTACAAGATTAAAGTTTATTAGTCTTTGACAGGGCGGACTTGCACTATTATGCTATTACCATTGTGTTAGTTGAAAATGGCCTCAAAACAACAATGCCATTGTTTATTACAATAATTTCTGGGTTAAAATTTGTTGACATGATATACCTACTAACAAAACGCTGAGATTAGATTATGCACAGGAGGAGAAATATTTCCTTATTGAGCAAATATTTAGCTTATATGAAGATAAAACAGAATTTTCCTTCCACTTCACAAATTTGCAATATATTGTGTTGATCTATCAGATACATAAAACTGTTGTTTTAACCTTTAAATGGGAAGAAGTTGACACGATCACTCTCAATGTTTTGAAACAACAAATATTTTCAGTTCTCCATTACCTTGAAACGGTGTATTCAACCACACGGAGAATGTGGTCGTGCGGTCCGATGGCCCAGCGCTCTTGGTTGGTGGTGTAGGAGACGTAGAGCTTGCCATTCTTCTTGTAATTGGGGTGGAATGCCAGGCTTAGCAGGCCCCTTTCATCACCACTCTGCAGTCAGATGAGAAACACAAAAGATCCAGGAGTTAATTATGTCCCTGCTTGGCTTCTGCTCCATGGTGCGGGGCTGGAATCACCCCCCTCAGTCATATTCATCATCACTAACATGCCAGCTCCACACACCCAGCACCCTCCTTTCTCCCCCCGCTTTTTTTTCAAACTTGTCTAATCCTCTTTTATATTCGTCCATCACATTCCCCTTTCACTGCTCTGCTTATTATCTCATTCTCTCTTTTCCTACACAGCGTTGTTCCGCTTCGCACCTTCGCCAGGCCCCTTGAATATACCATTACAGGCCATTATAAAACATTTGACTCTGGGCAGAGCTGCACTGCCGAGCCTTTCCTACAGCCTGGTTATGCGACGCTCGGTCCCTCCCGGTGGCCTCCATTGTGCAGTGATTTGTGTGTGTAATCTTTGGGGGATATTTGTGAATACTACGCTGAGTGGCTGGAATAATTTATTAGCTCACTCACAGTTCATAGAGAACACAAAGAGCAGAGTGCTTCAGTCCGTGCTTTTTGCTCCCCAATCTTCCTCTGTTTCCTGATTCGCTCAAAAATCCATACAAAATTAAAGGCGGGGATGTGAGGGGGGGAGAGTTAAAGTAGGGGAGGGATGAAAAAAAAAAAGGAAACCTAAACAAGGAGAGAGCTGCCAACTCCCACTGTCTTGGCAACATGTTTAGAAAACATCTAAATTGCTTGTGTAATATGTAAACCTTTGTCTCACCCTGGAGGCAGTTACATCGGTTGTCACTACCCTGGTGGTCTGCCCATCATAGTTAGCCGTAATAATCAGCTATAGCGTTTCATTCCCCAGGCAAAGTGAACCGGGTCAGCCTCTTTCTGCTATATGCTCCCTGTTTTTTTGTCCACAAAAGAATCAACAGAATACGAAGCCGAGGTGTGATGAATGTATATACGTTGTGACCATATAAGGATGTTGCTTAAAATTGCTTGACTTGTGAGTTTTTTTGTGGACTCAAAGGCATACAGTTATTTTTTTTTTTGCTGTTGTGAATAAATGAAAAGAAACATGTTTGGGTGTGGCTTGGAAAGGTCTAGCTTGTCACAAACCCATGAGAGTACACAACAGTGAAACAGCCCAAATGTCCACTGTTACAAAAGAGAAGGCACTCTAAGTTCCAGTAAGCAACAAGAGAGACCAAAATAATAATTTAGATGATGTTTTCACAGCCTCATTATAGAGAGAAATATTGAGCAAGTTGCTGAAACCCTTGACACTCCAGAAGTGAAAGATCCTCCGCCAAAAAAGATGAATAATAACGATAAATGTCAGATTCCTGAAGTGCTTTATAGATGTGGATGCACTACGATATTCAGATGGCTGTTAGTCAAAGCAGAGATGGTTCTGCTTGCCAGATATTGTGAATATTGGAAGAAAAAGTGCAAACTTCACCTTGAAAGGTTAGATCCATATGATGGAAATGGATATGCAGTGACCCACATTCCCAAAATAAACTTGTGACAGGGAATGAAGCAAAGAGGCATAGATCATGAGCCAAACGGGGGACCACCGGGACACACAGAGGTTTATTGGGCTGAAATATTACCTCCCCTGCTAATGACTGACTCGTTCAGCAGCAGAGGAACAGCAGAACTGGCACCAGAGCCATAAGAAACAAACACTGCATACGAAAGCAGTCTGAGGAGATAGCTTGATTAAAAGGAGACAAAGTACCACCCCGAGATTTCTTAGAACTAAGCACAAACTGCTGCCAAACCTGCAGTAGATCAGATTCTGTTCAGATATTTGAAAAGTCGTACTGCGCCTAACAAGATCAGTGCAAAGAGTGTAAAAATGTCTCAAACTGACAGTTGGAGAATGAACTTACTGCCAAGTACCACAGAACAAATAAAGAACCACTGCAACACCTGCACCTAGTTGTAGTTTTATATGAGATGTGTCTTTTGTATTTCCTGTGGCTGTGTGTTACGACCCCCGCAGGACCTTGTGGTTAGATTAGGCATTTATCTTTCCTATGCAACACTGATTACTGATATGGGACACCTGAGGACGTGGTAAGGCCTTCGGTTATTTAAACCCTGACTGCCAACTAACTTGTCTCTGCCCTCCTCCACTGGTATGCTGCTGCCTTTTACTTTATGGATTATTTTGACTGTACATTACAACACTGAGTTCATTTTATTTTATTTGTACTGATTTCACACTTCATATTAGGAACTTTGATTTTTTTGCCTCAGCTTGGGTTAGAAAAAATAATTATATTTCAGAATTTAAACATAGTGGGTTTTTTTGTGGCCTTTAAGAGGGGTCATAACAACTGAGAGCTCATCGAATTGTGTAATTGGATGCTTGTTGCTCTTCTAGTAAGGTAACAATTGGGGCTTGTGGCCTTATATTGTTTTGTGAAGATTATGGCTCTTTTGTTGGCACTGGACAAAAGTATTTATTCATGCTGACAAGACGCTGCAGTCCAGCTGAACTTTGTTGGTTATAGGAAAACCTGTGCAGCATGGTTGCTAGTCTTTGCTAAAAGTTTTTCATCCATGTGTTTTTGTTTGTTGTAGTCATTAAGTATAAGTACCATACTTAATGACTTGAAGTCATTAAGTATGGCTCTTTAGTAGTAGTAGGCACACTTCCGCTAATGTGCTAATAGCGGAGCTACTTTCTCTTTTAGTGTCTTAGTTAACTTTGAAAATGTCTAGCTTTCCCTAAATTACGTTTTCTGGATAAATTCAAAACTGCTTATTATTTACTTAGCTGTCTTGTACATATCAAGTTGAATAAAGTTTGATGTCTGTGTTGAAGTTTTGGTTATCGACTGAGAACAAGAGATTGATATAAATACGATATCTAAGGACATTATAGAACATGTAAATTATAAGGTCACAATTAAACTGGTGCTTGAGGGTTGTAGTCTTTCACTTCCATTTAGCATACTGTTATTCAGTATAAATAAGCTGAACTAAAACACCAGGAACTTTCATAAAGAATCAAATAACTACATGTCAGTAATGACTGATAGTTTATTAGGAATGCAGTCGCTGTCTTGTCTCCTTTATGAGCTCCTGTATATGAATGTATGACATTTACAATTTGTGTGTAGAAACAAACAAAAATTATGACTTTCATTTTTGTGTACTGATGACCGATTTGTCTATTTACGTCTCTGTACAAAGAGACGACTGGTGTGGTTTGCCACAACACTAACAGTGGTAAACAGGAGTTCTGAAACCTGGCCACTGACAGATATATTAATGCAATTTCATAAACAAAAATAAATCTGTTTGGTTTCCAACTCATAATCTACTCAATTTGACTAGAAAAGTTCTAGCCGACAGACAGTCGCTCTCATATACAACATCTGGTCGGCTGCACCTCCCTGGTGGAGGTGTGCTGAGGTGTGCCTGTGTTTATTTGTACTGTAGAATGTAACCACTGTGAAGCAATTGGTAAATAAAGTTTTATAGCTCTGATTTACTGTTGTGTTCAGCATCTGGAACTGTCTTACGTATTCAGCTCAAATGTTGCTGATCCATCTATCTTTCACTGTGTGTGTGTGTCTTTTTCATTAGGTCAAGATGCAAGAGCCAAGAAAATAATGTTGAAGTTGCAAACAGCCAGCAAGTACTGCTGCTTATTCTGCCTTTAAAAACAAATTGCGCTGGTGAGCAATGATTACAGAAAGCCTTGATGTCGACGGAAGACAGAAATAATAGAAATAAAAACACCATATTTCTAGTCGAATTCTTCTAATTAAATGGAACCGCAAAAAGACTTGAACGATTTACATCCGCAAACAGAATGCAGACGTCACACAGCAGCTTACTGTTTACAGAGGTAAACAAGATGAAGGAAGCTAATAAAAGGAAAGCACAACTAATAGCGATAGCCTTTTATGGACCATTTACTGCAAATTCTGTAGAGAAGTCTGTTTGGATGCGTAGTCGGTAAAAGGAGAAGTGTGAATGTGATGTGTTGCGCTTCACCGACACGATCACTTCAGAATTATAATTTTCAGCCATTTATGTCCAGATTTCTCACATCTGGCTTCTTCTGATGCAGAATTATGACCCATGTCTCACGTCAATGACGTAAAAGTTGAATAAAGTGCAGCATGACCATTTGACTCCAGACGCTTTGAAAACGATCAGATTATCCAACTTACTACCACATATGGAAGTGGCACAAATCAGATGTTTGGGGAGTAAAAAGATAAAATTGGGGCCTTCTGAATATCATAAAAAAGTCGGATATGGATCGCATTTGCCTCCTCGGTATGTAGCCAAATGGTTAATTCCTATTCACTTTTCACTGCAAAATCCTGCATTTCTCCAGACAAAGCTTTAGGGATTTACACTGGTCACTCTTTTCCATGTTTTCTGCATAAGGCATTTAAAAAAAGTCTATTTTTCTAAACTACAACAGGTCTGAAACTCCCGGGTTTACGGACCCCAGACTATGGCTTAATTCAAACCTCACTCTTCACTATAATATCTGCTTAACTAAAAAGCCTGTGTGATGTAAATGTCATCATCTTTACCACTATCAGAGGACATATCGTGTAGGCATCTAAAAGGGGTGTGGCTTGTAGCATTCACCAGAAGACGTGTTGGGGATTTCCCTGGTGTTAGGTAAAACTGTGATTAGGCCCCTCATGCAGGTTGTTTTAATGCAGCAATGATGTGTCATATACAACATGTAATTATCTGGAATAGATTCTGTTGGTCAGAGTATTTCTCAGATGTGATAACGCTGGAGGAAGCGTCGAGGCAAAGGATGGAATGATTGGGCCTTCATCCTCAGAGAACACCCACAGCGAAGGTGGAAGCCTATATAGGCCCAGCATGCTATTGTTTCTGTGCAGTTTGTCTTAATTGGCACTGGGGGATCCATGAAGTATGGCAGAGGGGGGACAAGCAGCAGGAAACACAGAACATTACAATCAAAGCATGTGCATGCGGCTGAAGATAACCTGCTATCTGCCCCGTCCCCTGAGTGCCTGCGTTCCTCTCTCTGTATAAAAGCAGCTCCATCCTGTTGATGCTCCCAGTAAACACCTCAACCCTCTCTGGATCACTCCATCACTTGTTGCCGGGGTCTTCTTCCGGCAGCCAACATCACAGAATAGGACTCCTGGGATCGGCAGAGGATTGAGCCACATCTAATTGTCATAATAAGTCACTTTATCCACAGCCAGTTTGGATTGAATGATGATAAGAGAGCTGAGAAGAGCAGGAAGTTCATCCCGCAGGGGGCAGTTTCATTTTCAAATGCTGTGCTACGTTTGACTCCTTATAAACAAAGTGTCTTGTCAGTGGAGGAGCAAGGGGCGTGCAAGCTGGATAAACTTCCTGTCTGGGAGTGTGCCCCTGAAAACATCCCTGCTATTCCATCTCCTTGTGCAATCTGAAGTATTTCTGGACATTTTTCAAATTCAAAATCTGATTACGCAAATATTATTGATGGAAAATATGTTTCAAGAATGTAATCCTGAGGCCTGAAGTTTCTTTGAAGCTGAGACACTGACAATAAATTATTTTGAAAAGATAGTTTTTGGAACATATGTTTAGTATCAAAATGAGACAACAAACTTTTCAAATGTTATTTCAGATGCAAAAACTGAGATAATAATGGATCGTCAGTATAAGTTACGGCTTCACTGCCTGGATTTTATGACACGCTATGAGACACTTGTTCACTTGCCCTCTGAAACCCCATTATCATCTCACGGTCCTCTCTCCAACTCTGCAGGGTTATGTCTTGATAAATTTCTGTAAGGACATGCTCTTCTGGAAACATTTTGAAAAAAAAGTATTCATGCATGCAATTTATGGCCAGTTTGGGATATTTTAATTTCCACTAACATTTTATTCAGTAACTGCCCTAAAAATAATCTAATTTTCTTTTTCAAATATGTAACCACTAAGTCGGGGAAACTGAGAGGCCTGACTTCTACCTCTGTCTCAGCATGAGGTCAGGAGAAGGCAAAATATTTCCTAACCTGTGTAGCCGGCGTGTCCCCGAAACCAGGAGCAGCAGCACATCCACCAACATAATTCATTTCAACTCTAGGAAGCTAAATGAGAATACAGATGCATTCTGGACAAACACCCAGCAACAACAGTGCAACACAGTCCTACCAACATAAGCAACCTTTCAAATTAAAACCCAAACTCTGCTCTTTCCAATGATATAAGCATCACTGCTCTATGTGCAAAACTCACTGAACCAACAGCTGAAGAAGAGGAAAAATGAGGCTTATTTTATGAAGTCTTACCTTTACTGTTTTATGCCCATAATCTGCATTAGAGTTGAATTGAAATTACTTTATTTTGGTAAAGTGCTTTGAAATGCTGCTATATAAATAAACTGAATTGAATAGATGGGATTAGATATGAGAAAAATAACTTAAGAAAGAAAAACTGAACAATTGTACCAAAAAGACCCTTTAGGAAGGTTCACCTGGACTTTTATCAACTAATACCTCTAAACAAACTTGCAAGCTTCACTGTTTTTACAAGAATTTTGGAACAGTAAATGGTCAGATCTTGTGGTTTACTAGATGCTTTGGTTCGCATTTGCACGTTTGTAATGTGACAAAACGTGAAAATGTTCATGAATACTTTCCCAAGGTTCTGAAGGTACTGAACATCAATCATGAATATAAACTCCTTATATTTGTGGTATGTCCATATTAATCTTTTGTAATTTACAAGTCCTTTACACAATCTATGACAACATGTCTAAGACCCTGCAGTTTGGCAGAAAAATCTCACAAAAGCAGACACTTTCCTACCTTCAGTCCGCTCTGCACCAGCTTGTGGAGATCCAAGAAGGGCTCCTTGATAACTTCGAGGTTATGGTTGAGTATCCTGACAATTCCCTCTCTCTCCACAACAAAAAGCCGCTGAGAGCCATCGCCACAGTGCACCACAGCCACCGGCTGCCTCAGACCACTCAACACCTCCTGAGGACAGTAGCAGTTGTGTTTGTGTTTCCTGGGAAACATGGAAAAGGCAAAAGGTCAAGGAATGATGTGTCCCTCAATAATCCAATTATAGCGGCATGAGAAGCACAGGGGATTTTTAGGCGGCAGTATTTAAAATCAGGAACAGCACACAGAGGATCAGCTTCACTTCTTGTTGTATTACTCTAGAATGAAAGAATTAACAAAGTGAGTGGAATTGTTGTCAGTTTTCCAAGAGTCCCAAAAGTTTGACCACTACATCTGCATTTCTTTGTATAATGTGTGTCTAATAACTGGTAGCTATTACCATCATAATGATCACTCACTGGTTCCTGGAAAGTATCAGAAAACTCAGAAATATTGAGATTAATCTAAAAGATTTTTCAGAAAAAAACTAGAAAATTATTGTAGATCAAAAAGTCAAACATTTTCTGGAAAAAATTCTTTTAAATTAATCTCACAATCATTTTTGTGGAAATTTTCTGAGCTCAAAAAGTTGAAAATTTCAACTTTTGATACTCAGAAAATTTCCTAAAGTCAAACATTTTTTACTTAAATTTTTTTCTGGAAAATTTCTGAGAATAATCTTGGTTGGATTAAAATTGGATTTTTATTTCTTGCAAACATATCAACTGATATTGACCACATGTATACTACAATGTATATTGTTATTGATTTATTGTTCAGTCCTACTTAAATCGTAATTGAAACATGTTGAACACTGAACTGGTACCAGTGAAACCTGAGCGTCTAAAACAGATCATCTTACTAACAGTAACTCTAGCACCACATAAAATAGAACAAGGTGAAAGTCAGAGTACAAACCTGCTGATATCTTCTATTTTCTCATCTTCCAAGTAGTTGGAATCTTGCCCAAGCTGCTGCCTTCGTTGATAATCGGGAAAACACAAGCCGGCACCTCTCCTCCCATAGTACTGACAGAACTCATCCACATCCGCTTGGAACAGCTCTAGCAAACAGCACATACAAGGCGACACTTACTGCTGATGCTGAACAATTAAAACAGCTTTTTACACAAGTTTCAGGCAACTGAGTTATGTTTATGGATGTCTTGCTTTGTGTACAAATAACAACTAACAAAAGTTGCATAGGGACAGAGAAGGAGGAAAGTTTCCTAAAAAGGATTTGTGGAAAGGAATCTAGTTGAATCAATTCTGGTCCGAAGAGGCTGTAAAGAGCGAGTCAACAGAAACTGAGGAAAGGATAGCAGTTTAACTTTGAGCAGAGCAGAAACACTCAATTCCCAACTGAGACATCCATGCATATAATTTCAAATTCTTCACATCATATCCTTGTGCAGTTGCCTAATTTTTTTTTTTTTGAAAATGAATCTAATCTTGTTGTCTAGACAGTTTCTAACTGAAAAATCTCTTCATTCATGTCTTTACATATAAAGTAGGAAAGTCCATATCTGATCCCAAGTACCTCAATGCAAATCAAAGCAATGTCACACAAAAAACTCACAAAGGAAACTCATTTTGTAACCTGCTGTTATTGTACTGTCTGTGATTTTCAGCAGCAACATTCTCGAGTGCAGTCATTTTTTTAAATTACAGCTGAATTTCATGCTCACTCCTTACAAAACCAGACTTTAGATCATGCACATTATGTTGTGTATCTAACTAATCAGGAATTTCCCTGATAAATAAGTGTTTTGCCCTCTTTAAAATGTCGCTGACAGTGAAAGAAAGTCATATTACTTGGATATCCCCAACTGTCAGGGAGAAGAAGTGCAAAGTTCAGCTGAAACAGACGTTATAAGAAACAAAAATCTTCCCGTAAATGTTGTCTGCACACATTAACTGGAACAGAATGTTTTATAAGCCGAATTATCAACAATTCATTCAATCCTAATACTTCAGGTTCAAATTCAAACGTTGTCGTCGATGACTGTAGCTGCATGCGTCGGGTTAAATATAGCTTTGTACAAACAATAAAAATAAGAATCAGATTTCATTGCCTTAATTTTGGGAGATTGTGATCGGCCAAAGTGACTTTATCAGGAAAGATGTGAAAATCTGCCACCGTCTTCTTTTGCTCTCTCCTGTGAAAGATATCTGACTGACATACCCGGCCACCAGGTCACCACTGCAGGTGTGCAGTTAACAATGGCTTTGGGAATCAGTATCAGCAAATTCCTAATCTTAACAAATCTGAATTGCCACCACAAACGAGGAGTTTTGGTTCTCAATTCAATTGAATTTATCTGACTATCAGATGTGAAAATGTCAGTGACTGACACAGAGTATTGGAAGCATCATAATGGCAGGAAATAGGAAAGTGCCTTTATTGCAACTGATTGTGAATATTCTTTGAATAACCCACATGAACAAATACAAGATGCAGCAACTTGGTTTAACTTTGATAAGGCTTTCGCTGTTTTGCGTTTCTGAGCAGCACTGGAGAACAGCATGTGAACTCAAACAATCAGCCTGTTCAATGTGGCTTGTCATTCAGAGTAAACAAGATGTTCCCATGGTGAGATATGCTCAACACCTAATTTGTGAAACAAAGACGGGATGTTCCAAAATGATGACAGAAGGTGACCAGTAGTTATCGCTCTGCGACACCTCCAGCCAGCCCCGTCACAACACCATTCTCGTAAGAAAACAAAATGTGCAGCGGGTCTCGGAGGCACTTTGAGACCTAACAACAACCTTGACAATATTGTTTCCTCTTGTTAATCCCGTGGAGGACAGAAGAGAACAAATACACCAGCGATAAAAACACAAACAGGATTCTCCCAGTCCCTCCTTTCATCTCCTTCTCCTGCCACACACCGCAACGACTGACCGCATCAAATACTGGAGGTGATAGGATATCCCCTCAAACATCTAAACATAACATGAAGATCAAACACACACAGAGCTCTGGTTATACCACCCACACGCTTGTTTCTGTAGTTATCTTAACCGTGCTGGTTGGGGACCTTGGGTGCAGGATGAGGGAATGAGTGAAGGAAGATATTAGAGGAGTATAGAAAAGGTGGGGGCAGAAGTAAGACTCAAGGCAGGTCACATCTTTAGGGGGCCGAGTTACCTAATCAAGAGACAGCAGTAAGTTTTAAGGAAGCAGGATGATAGGTGAAGAAAGCTTCAAAGGCTTCTAGTTCAACTTAAAACCGTTGTGTTTGAAAAGATTCAGTCAAAGCCACACTGGTTTCAACATCACAACTGTAGGAAATTCCTACTTTGCTTGTTGTTGTCTGTTGGCAAATCTAAAAAAAAGATTTTAAAATACCTGCATTTTGAACAAAAAAGGAGAGTTTGAGCTAAGAAAAGGTGTAGAACAAAGAGAAACAGAGAGACAGTGTACGTATTCCTGGCTCCCCGGCTCTAAAGTTATACTTCCATCTGGTTATCTTCCAAGCCAACCTGGGTGGCCCACCCAAAGCACTTGACATCTTGATGCACTTCAGCAGTTTTACATACACACAAGCTTTGTAGAAAAATAAATGTGTCATTCGTCACCACATATGCTGATCTGTGGTGGGTTGAGCGGGGCGAGCGAGGAGCATAGAAGCAAAAAAACAAAAAAAAAAAGAAAAGAAAAAGGAAGAGAGCATTTCTGTCTTCAGCTTTTTTGATGCGACTCTTGGAGCCCATATGTCTGTCGGTATTCAAGCAAGAAATCTGTAACTTAGAACAAGTGTTCTTCTTCCACAGCCTTCTTGTTTTCTGTGAAGTCGCTGTCACCACTCTCGGCTGTAGCTTTGGTGTTCCACTTTATATACAAGCACCATGTTTGATGCAACCAGATATCTATTTGGATGAAATATATGTTTGACTTACAGCTTACCATGTTGTCGACATGTGTGTTTGAAACTGTTCTGCCTTCTCAAGTCCCTGCTGATCTAATCAGTTTGAGGAGACTCGCAGCCTAAAGTGTTTGATCATATTTGGCATGTTCTCTGAAATCACAGCGAACTATGATCTTGCTTCTCTTCAAAAGAAAATCTTCTGAAGAGCAGGTGCTTTCAGGCATAAAAACAATTCCTATGTGACAAACCACATGTGATGCATCAAAGAGTTTTGATGCCATCTCCATCGCTTCAGCTATGTTTAGAATCCTGTGCGGTTGAAACTTCAGAGAAAACAGCAACGGAGGAGCTGAGATGTAGCTTTTTAAGTGACAGTTTGTACCTGAAACAAAGCACTCAGGAGCTGTCTACACCACAAAATAGGGTTCACATGCTTTCTCAAAACATTTCCCCAGGAGAAACAAAGGCCAGTTCCTGGTATCAAGGTGTGTCAAGGTTTAAAAGAGTTCTGGTTTTAAAACAGCTTACATGTTATGTCATACTGTTGCTATGCTGCTGGTGGTTCCTTATCTAACTCTAAAGTTGCTATGTCAGTATGTATGCTATGTCAGTATATCAGTGTTTACAAAAGTGATACTTGGTATACAAAAGTTTCACAACGACTGACCTAAAGAGAAGTAACTATATTTTATAAATGAAGTTTTTGGGTCTTTTTTGTAAAACCTATTAACATTAAGTTGTGCAATTGTACTGCTAAGTAGTACACAACAGTTATTTTCAATGACCTATATTGATATGTATTAATGTTCCATGTTCCATGTGAACATTAATGTATCTGCAAGCATAAATAATTTAAGTTCATTGCAATAACAGTAACTCAGAATAGCTATTCACCAAAATCTTTTCCCAGTAACAGTAATAGAGAAGATTTACCATTATATGGAGTATGAATGTCTGTGGTCTGGATGAAATGAGCTCTATCAGACTGATTGAATGCTTGGTCAAATTCTAGTGAATAATTTTGATCAAACTTTTATCGATTCATCCTCGCCTCATCAGTACAGCGAGAAGCAGACCAGTGAACACGTTTTAGGTCAGACTCAGTTATGAATGGAGGTGAGGTCAGATGAGGTAAGAGCTGGATAAATAAATATTCCCTGACCAGACTACTGACGCACCACTTTCTGCATAAACCCGGGGCTTTGCAAGGTCCACATGTGCGAGCAGAGTCTCGGTTACAAACAAGACCTGTTGTGAATTTTTACTCAACACAACATGCAGGGCCCCAAAAAATGTGAATGTGTTTGTGTGGTTATCGCTAGGTGACCACACAGGCACCCATTAAAGCTGCATTCATTGCCTTTATTATGGGTTTCATTACCTGGTATGTGCCCCCTGCAGGTGTAATAGAACTCCCGGCAGAAGTCCTGGCAGAGCCGCGGCAGGTCCGGCTCTCTGTGTGGCATCCGATCCATGTCCAAGGAGTGGAACAACACCTGGGCATTGGGGGAGCAGCGTGCACACTTGATCTCCTCCAGGAGATGTCCACATTCTGTGTTGTTGGTGGAGAAAATCTGGAGACCACACACAAAGAGAGCCAGCACCTTGTTAAAGGGGTGGAGAATCAACTTATAAATTTTTAACTCATACTAAGATGTACTTAAGAATCAGTGAGTTGTGTAAATAAAAATCATCAAATCTGAGAAACCTCCATTAAAGGTTGGATTTTTAATTTTTTATGGAATCCTAACAACCTGCACCTGGTGTCTATTGGTAAAGGAAGTGATCTCTGACCTCATCGTCAGTCAAAATATAGTAAGCAACTGCTCCTACCTGACAAATGTAATGAAAAAAACCCTTAAAAATAGGTCTTTGCAAAGTTCTGCAAATATAATTTTAAGGCTTAAAGCACAAAGATTTTTAACATTTAATTTCAAATCTAATAATGTTTTCTATTCAGACCAAATAATCTCATCCCCTGCCTGCTCACTGAAGTTTGCAGACAGTTAAAAAGTAATTACAATCCGCACGTCTGACAGTATTCAGAACAACAAAAACAAAATAAAGAGTCTACGTTACAGTCATTACGCAGAACTACACAAGGAGTTAATCCAAAAGAAATTAGCAGGATTATTTACATAACAAATTAGCTATAATAAAACACAATGTAATCTGTTTTAGGTCAAAAGCTGCGCTGTTGGGGCAGCCAAGCATGCTGGTGGTGTTTTGCTCTGTGTGAGGTCCATGTGTAAACACCAATTTCAAGATAGGGAAGCACATCATTCCCACTCTGGTATCAACAAATTAGCAGTCTGTCGAAGTCAATTAAAGCAGGGGACCCAGGGCTAACATATGGACACCTTACACTCGGGTTGCAGAACAAGTCCGCAACTTTGTAAAAGACTTTCTGATTTTAAGTTGTGTGGAGTTATGTTAGTGCAACAGGTGGTGGAGCCCTTGACAAAAACCTGATGTTCCAGTACAAAAATACGCCGCCATAAAGGGAAAAAAAAAGGTATTTCTGGAACAGACAGTGGGATGGACAAAAACAGAACAGCACAAAATGTTATTATTCCATTTCAGTTCACAAACACCAACCTGGACCACACTTTATATATAATAGATCCAAAGTCAATTTTCTTTTACTCTGAAAACAAGCTGATATGTTCCTCTGTCACGGCACTCTCTGCTCTCATGCCTTCCAGTGTTGTGGGCATGCCTGCTCCCTTGCTCTAAAGTGCCCATTGATTCTGTGTGCCATGGCCTGGCACAAGGTCCACAGAGAGAAGCATTTGTGTGCTCTCAGCCATGCCCCGTGTCCATATGTTGCTGGGATGGGCTCCAATGTTGCCATCATCCAAACCAGAACAAGTGGGCCCTTTGTTTGTTGTGTTTTTGCTGAATCTCCGGGGGCATAATTCTCAAAATGAGGAAGAAAATAACAGGCGGGCTAAAAATGGCCAAAACCTAAACACACAGGTTGTCAGAGTCCATTACAATAAATTTTAAAGAGATGCCAACACAGTTGCAAGATTTGGGTAGGAGAACAGCCATAACAAGACTAGTGTCACTATGCTCCTGTACCGATCAGAACTTAACAGAGTAATTTCAATCAAAATATAGTCAAATTAAGTCATAATAAGGATCAAAATATCCCTCAAACAAATTGTGATTTACTTATTATTTCTATACTTTTGAAAGAATTGGTCCTTTTAAAAGACATCCAGAACAACTTTCAACATCTTTCAGTTTTAGATGATGTCCCACTTTAAACTATAAGAACTGATGTGACTAATCTTGCATATGAAAACACCAAACTATTCCTCATCTAACTGAAGTCTGTTTTGCAAATTTCTAGTCCAGTCACTGTCAACAGAACTTTCTAGATCTTTCTTCAAGAGTTTAAAGCAATAAAGGAAATAGTTTCTGTGTAGAACTGACAGACTTGGGCTGAGAAAGAGTCATCCCCAAAACCCTTATCTAAATATTGACAATTTGAACTATGTGACATCTTTTGCGTACTTGGTAGAAGAAAGCCATGCTCGGAGGATGGGGAGTTGCAATCGTCACAAATGTGAAGATGCACCTGCTTCCTTCGCCTGCTTCCTGCTCACCGATATAAGCAAAAGGATGCTTCTGGTTTTTGTAAAGGAAAATTGCTTTCACACTCACTACCATGAAAATTGCATGTTTTGTTTTTAGTCTGCGGCCGGTACTCAACAAGCCCACAACCCAGAGCCAATCTGCAACACACTTTCAGCCTGGCTTATGCATAACGCTGGAACTTCCTGCTTTTACTCCAAAAAGAAGGAAAAAAAAAAAAAAAACTAACAGAGCACAAATATAGGCCTGGGTGGGCCACCAGTTCCAATGTTTTAAAAGGTTATGTTCCAGTTCCAATGTTTTAAAAGGTTATGTTCTCAAAATCACGTAAAATTTCACAGCATACTGTTCCAAAGGTTTTAAGTACTTTAAATTATATGCTGAGGAAGTGTCACAAAAGAGTGAGTCGGTCACCTGAGTAAAAAAACGGTGGTGGGCTTTTCTCTCACTTACAACAAAAATTCATGGATATTTTAAAATATTTTCTGTTGGGCAAAATATAGAGGCATTAAGTGGAAACTAAAGAAGCGACACCTTTAGTTTCCGCTTGATGGAAAGTAGCTACGAGTAACCTGTACCCAAATAGATAGCCTGCCTACTTAGAAAATTGAGAATATATTGTTCTCAATTTGCCCTTCAAAAACAACATAGCACTATTTGGTTAAGTTTATGTCTCAAACAGACAAGGAATAACATGAAATCATTTTAATAATAAAGAAGTCAAGTTATAGTGGAAGCATAGAAATTAAAAAAAGAAATCGATACAGACATGTATTTTTGCTGTTTTTCCATATGTGTGTGTTTTAATGCTATCCTGTTGGCATATCTGTACTCAAAGTTATCAAACCATCTGATCCTCATACTGGGCCATGCCAGCTTTAATATGACTTCCGCTTCTCTAAAAACATTTTTTTTAAAAAGGAAAACTTGTCTTTGGGGTTTCAAAATGCTTGTCCACAGTCAACCATAAGAGATGGGGGAGCAAAGGCTGCACTAAAGCTTAAACAAAACACTTGCCCTCAGGGAATAGGTGTAAGTTTGCTGGCAGGGGGAGATACTGGAGAATACACACCCTCTCAAAGGCATTAACACCCGGACAAGGCTGATTACTGGGAGGGGGAGAGAAGAGAGTGATGTTTTCCAGCTTCTCCTATTAGTGAAACCAACAAGCACAATGGTGTTGTTGTTATTCTTTTGCCATAATCAGAAAAGGCTCCGTGTGTGGGCAGTGTAGTAGGGGAGGAGGAGAAGTCGAGTTCGTCCTATTCAGTCCCCACCTCCACCACCCCCTCTAGCCCCCACCACCCCAACCACCACCTCTTATTTGCATGACTTGAGCAAATTAAATGATGCAATATGTGCTTTTTGTATCGCACAAAGTGAGATACCACCCAGCCACTGAATTATACGAGGGGCACTTTTACATGAGAATGGCCCGATGAGAATCCAAAGGAGTCGCCCGTTTGGCGCATACAGTTGCGTTTTGTGCACGTCCCAAGAGCGATTCAGACTCTCCTCTAGGGTTTTTAATTCGCGTTTTAACGGTCAAAGCTGACGTGAGCCAAAGGCTGCGGCTGGAGTGACGATTTTCTCTTTTTACGTTCGAAATGAAAAGAACATCAACTACCCAAACTTATCTTAAAACACATCAAAACAACCGAGAACATGCGATATAAGTGACAAGTCTATGAGCTCCTGGTTATAAAAAGACTAAAACAAAAACCACAAAACAAACTCCTACCTTTTTTCACGAGCAAGCGGGTTCAACAGCTTAGCTAGCAAGCGCTCTGTCTGGACGGTTAGCTCACTGTGAAGCAAGATGTAACGTGAATCGGGGCGATTGATTGCCATGGTAACGCAGAAGCGAATTGGACACACATAAACGTTACACCAGCATGTTCAAAACGCACAATAAGCACGACGGTTGTTCTTTTGCTTTCAAAAGGAGAATAAGCATTAAATATGTACAAGTTTTGTTATAAGCGAAGAGGACAAACTATTTTAGTAACATTCCCGTCACATTCCCTACATTAATAACAGATACGACAGTGATTGTAGGCGTTTGAGTGTATTTCCCCAGTAAAATCATACTAACGTCTTCTTCAACCTACCCGGGCATCCCCGCGGTGCAGGATCTGATAGGTGGCTCTCCTGGTGGGACAACAGGACACACGGGGGTACAACCTGTGGCAAACTTCTCCGCTGCTGCTGCCGTCAAGCAGCACTTTTCGCTCCCTTTTCTTCAGACGCTTGGGCAAGCTTCCGTCGTAGCATCTTCTCCTCCTGGGGCTCAACTCTCCTCTCTCACCGAACTTTGCGTCCCCACATTCCCACACGTTCACCGCGATGGCCAGGACGAGCACGAATTGCAAGTGCTTCATTGTTTCAAAAACATATACAAACAAAATAAAGAAGAAAAAGGGGACTTCTCTTTTTTCAAAAATGCAAATGTGCCCCTGCAGAACAGTTTGTATATCTATTTGTATTATCCAAACACCAGAAGCTGCTAAAGAAAAAAAGGTATTTTATACTATTATTCCTAGATGAAACTGTCCTTAATTTAATTATCACAATGAGGAGGGTTCTTTAAAAATAAATTAACAAACTCCTTCCTCAGAATAAACGGTTTAACTTGACATTTAGAAACCAAATAAAAAAAAAGACCAATAAATTTTATCCTCAAGAACACAGACAAACAAAAAAAAAATCCCCAACAGAAAAGAGCCTGATGTTCCTTTAAAAGGGTAAATTCCTGCAGGGAACGGCTCGCCAGCTTGTGCACGCACTGCACAAAACAACATGAGAAAATAAAAGTTGTCTCTAAGTCCTCTCAGAGCGCTCACATGTTTTCTCGTGCTGTTTCCTCCTTCTTTTTAACCAGCGCGCGAGAAGCGGAGCGAGCGCTGTGACGTATGGCTGCGCGGGGGCGCGCGTGGCAAGCACGGTCGCGCCCACGTCGAGGTGGAAACGTTTTACCTGGCAGAGTGTAGACGGAGGCTGGAGATGAATGCTGCTCCTGCAATGCCCCATATACCGCGGTCTGAACAACTTGTAATGCAAATGAGAAAACAAACAAACAAAATCGGGTTTTGTTTGTTTGTTTAGATCGCACGTGTGTCCTTTGACGTCACAGCGTTGATTACATTGCAGAAATGGTTTTTCCAGTCTCCCAGAAGCACACTGAAGGATAACAGCTACGGTTTTCCATGACAGTGAGAAAAGGCTGATTCTGAGCCACATGTGGCAGGTACATTTCTGAGATTCAGGACAGAATTTTGTTCAACACTGTTCTGAACTACCTAATAAAATAGTTCAGGATTACATAACTACGAAATGAGAACTATATATATTGTCCTAGGAGACTAAGACTCATAAATTACAGCATCATAACTGACAAGAAGTCACATCTTACTTTCAACCATTCACAAAATTATAGAAGAAAATTTTAATCTATTGAGATTTTTTAATAGTTGACAGGAGGGCAAGATGGAGTTCTTTACAATAGAGCATCCATCCATCCATCCATCCATTACTTGCCCTAACAAAGACAATAAACCATTTTTATGCACTTCAAATCTGGAACAAACTCCTAGAGGACTGTAAAGATGCTAAAATACAGTTATTTGGAAATCTTTCCTTTTTTTATGCCTGTATTTTGTTATTTTGCTATTTATTTTTCAGATGTCCAAATTTGGACATTTGTTCCATTTTTTGAGTTGTTTGACTATTGGGCAAAGGAAACGTCAAGTCTGGTATATCCCATTTTTTCATCAGTGTGGCAATTCTAAATTATTCACCACAAAATATAAAACAGTAACCATTTATAAAACAAGCAACAAACATTACATTATGCCAAATGCCATCACCAAAATCCCTAAGTAGATGTACGTCAGATATATTAATCAATGTTCCAGTTCTTATGCATCAAACCTTTTTAAGGGATCTCAGTGTTGCGGCTGTTTTGCAGCTTTCTGGAAGTTTGTTCCAGACCCAGTCACATATTACTCAACACCCTTCATTTTGTTGTCTTGCCTCACATTTTGAAAGGCATCTTAATTTGTCCAGTTTCACGATAACAAATGTGGAGCAATTCCTTTCAGAAAATTCACTTGATAGCATGATAATCTAAAAAAAGAGGTGGGGGGACGTCCAACTGTGGCAGTTACCAGAGAAACAACAGCCCCTGCTTTTTTCACAACAGAACCTGAAATCATTAACTTTAACAGCACCTGTTCTTACTTGGGGGTCTGTGGCACTCAGCAGATTCCCGGCTTAGCTTATCTACAGGAATCTGGAGCGGGTGGAATCCAAGAGTGGTTGGTTTGATTGTGGGCTATTATGGAAATGACTTTGTGTGCTATGAAGCTGTGACCGACCTCTCACGTTCACAAACACATTCGTAGAGTCTCTGTCTTATCCAAATGGAGACATTTCAGGACCAAATGCAGCAAAAGTGCTTCTGCCCTTTTATGTCCATAAAGGAGGGAGGGAATCAAATCAAATGAAGAGAGCAATCTGCCTCCAACAGCAGTGTCACCGCAAAACGAGGGCTACAGGAACAGAGGAGAAGTGCATTGTTGAAAACATGTGGGATGCAGCTGTGGAGCCGAGCGGAGTGCATCTGCGAAGGACAGAAAGATGAAGAGAAGCACAGTTTGACAGACCGCGCTTCTGAGCTGACAGACCAAGAGTAGCTCTCTAAACATACATAAACAGAAATCCATTCAACATTTCCATCTTTTAATTTCTGGCAGAAACGATAGACTTTAGCAGCGAACACAGGGCTGGACGGATCAAGCTAAATATCAATACTATTAATACTAGCGTGATAAGATCGATACTTTGTTTACAGTTTCTCTTCCATATGTCCATAAATTACTTGAATTTCTTCAGAGTTCATATTAGTGCATATGCAGAAATTAAAATGCCAAATATGAAGAGTTTATATTACAATTTGAAGAAAGGATTTTATACCTTTGTAATGTTTGCAGTTAAAACATTTGCTTTTTTCAAATACAATCTGTTTAATTCTCCCATAAGCACAGTTTTACTATTATCTACTCAGACAGTTGAAATAAATCTTACAGGAACTCAAGAATATACACTTATGTAAAGATATACACCTCAAACCTGAAATGTGAATATGGCTGAATGTTAAATATTAAAGGAAAAATATTATTCTTATTGCAGATTGCAATTACAGACTCACTAGTCCTAATAAACAGTTGCTTGAAGTAGAAGGTAGTAAGGGAATTATGTTGTTTCTATGCTGCTACATTGCTTTCTAGTGTAGTTCGTTAATAAAAAACACTTGTCATAACACTGATAATCGTCAATAATCAACTAATTGAAGTCAAATAGCTAAATTATTCAATAATAATGACATTATTTTTAAAAAAGGTATCTGTAGCGATATTGACAGTGCTGACCCTGTATTAACTTAGTTTCTGATTAATAACAAAATTCACAGTATTGCACATCTTTTTCAGAAGTTAATCTTTTCCAGCCTACATTTCAGGAGCATTTTCTCCTACATTAAAAATACAAGAGAGTACATGAGCTAAAACCTGATCAACTTTCACTGCTGCTTCTGCTGTTTCAATCTGAAATCATTAAATATTGTAGGAATTACTGGGTGATAGATTTACCAGAATGACATATCTTCAACTTCAACATCTTTGATGATCTCAAATCATTTATATCCAGAGTTGGGTATAATTAGTTATATTTACACTGTTAATTTTACATGAGTAACCTTTTGTGGAAGAATACTTATAGGAGTTTCTTTATTAAAGCTGTACTTTTTACTTTTACTCAAGTAATTTTTTAAAATTAAGTATTGCTACTCTTACTTGAGTAAAATTTGTGCCCACTTTGAGTACCTTCACTGAATGAAGAACAGGCTTATTTTAACGGGAAAAAAAACTACCAGACACAGACGAAGCAGTTTCATAAGTTTAATATAAAAAAATTTAAAAGATTTGGAAAATGTGTTTTTATAATATGAATTATTTTCATTTTGACTTCACCAAACTTTTCACATATCTTTATATTTTGCCCTATTTATGTAATTTTTAAATTTTAAGTGATTGATGTTTTCATCAGTTACTCTGTACTTGTCTTTCCATTGAAAGACTTTCTAAGACACTGGAAAGAGTATTTTACTCTTACGAGTAAGAGTAAAACATGTTTTTACTCTTACTTGAACAATTTCTTGCACTTCTACTTTTTACTTTTACTTGAGTAAAAATAAGTTAAAGTAGTGCTACTCTTACTTGTGCACATTTTATTGGTATTGTACCCACCTCTGTTTATATCCACAAAAAAGGACCAAAATGTAGTAAATAGTGACACATGCATACATGTAGTACCTATTATATTTAAATACTCGTCATAGTTTATTGAAAATACAACTGAATAATGACAGCAGCAGATTGGTTGATCTGCAATGTGCTGAAATCCTGGTGAGAAATATTTTTTGTTTTCTGTTTCATCTTCTTCTTTTTCTGACTAAACAGCTAATTAACTAAAAAGCTAATTTTTGCCCCAGTCAGTCTCTTGTAAAAATCGTATATCTGTGAGTGGAACAGAGTGATTCATCTCAGCCCAAAGAATACGAGAAGGTGAAGCTCCAGGAGTGTGGAGACCTTAAAGCACGTCAGGTGGTGCCTTTAGCACTCACTGGATTCAGTTTAATCAGAAACATTGATGCTTCTGAAAAGAACAGGTCTGAAAAGAATAGTGGACTTCACAGCGCCAAGCAGATGTTTCTGGTGAGGTTAATAGAAAATACTCTGTAACACTTTATTTGAAGGGGGTTGAATAAGACTGACATGACACTGTCATAAACATGACATAACACCTGTCATGAACATGAATAAGCCTTCATGAATATTTATGACTGTTGTCATAAAGCGTCATTCAGTAAATTATGACACTTTTAATACAAAGTTGACATTATTCGAAATGTCTTTGTTATGACAACTTGACATTAACCAAGAAATCATTACTGATATAAATTTGTTATAAAAGTATTACTGATTATACTTTAAAAA